CACCCACCCACTGACCACCCACATACCGACCACCCACCCACCCACCTACCACCCACCCATCCATCACCCTGCCACCCACCCACTACCTACCCACCACCCACCTACCAATACACTATCCACCACCAACCCACCAACCCATAGTTCATAGTTCATTTATTTTGGTACAGCCCTGTGAGCCATTCGGCTTTTGACTCGGGTGCAACCGCAACAAACAAAAACATGAACAAGAAAAACATCTTAAAGTGACTTTGTGTCACTGTGCAAACAGAAAATCCAGGAAAAACACATCAAAATATTCCTGAAATAGCACCGTACACCAACGCTGTGTGCAAAAAACCCAGTGGGATACAAGTCAAATAACAACAACAACAACCACAAGACAACTAAGATTAAGGCCATCAGTCTAACTCCGTACTACAATAAACAAAAACATGGCCAAAACAAAAAAAAATGTTTTCGAAATCACCAAAATAAAAGCCATAAATGCAATGTAACAGTGATCATAGGGACTGTGACCGAATTTGTAACAATAAACTACGTAAATAAATTATAACACCAAAATCTAGAGCCATATTTTAGGCCATTGAATAGCAGTGGCAGCTAGGGGTGTACAGCTCCTCTAGAGCAGTTTTGAGTGAAGATCTCATAGGTAGTGATTCAAGTTGCAGTTTATTGGCAATAGCATTCCAGACCCTGGGGGCATCAATAGCAAAGGCCCTTCCTCCAGTTTTTGTACGGCAATAGGGAATGTGAAGCTGGTAAATGAGCGAAGACCTGAGGTCAAATTTGTTCTTTGAAACAGAGAGGAGATCCAGTAGGTAGTCTGCGGATTTTTTTGTAAGTACATCGTGAATAAATAAGATCTGGTGCACAAGCCGTCGAACATTAAGAGATGTTAAGTTTGACCCAATGTAGAGATCACAGTGGTGAGTCCTATATGGGCAGTTCAATGCAAATCTTAAGGCCGAATGTTAGATGGAATCAAGCTTCTTCAGTAAAGTACTTGGGGCTGATTTATACACGATGTCACAGTATATAATCTTAGCTCTTTCGGTAAAGTCACGTTGAAGGGAAACAATAAAATAATAAAATATATAAAACAATAAAAAACAATGAAAAACAATAAAAATGTCACAGTAGTCAATTAGAGGCAGTATGGTAGCTTTTATCAATTCCAAATGGAACATTGGGGGGAAGCAGTGCTTGTGTCGATACAGAAAACCAATTTTAATTTTTGTCTTTTGACCAATATAATCAATGTGATCTTCAAAATTAAGTTTTGAATCCAGGATGACCCCAAGATACTTATAGATCTTGACTTGCTCTATTTGATCATTATTCAAGGAATGTAATTGGGGAAAAATAACTTCCTGCTTTAGTCCCGGTGAGAAGCATAGCACCTTGGTTTTGGAGGTATTCAGGACTAGTTTAAGAGAAACTAGCTGATGTTGTAGTTTGTTGAAATCACCCTGGAGCTTAGCAATCACGTCATCCGGAGAGTGGCCAGCAGTAATCAGTATCGTGTCATCTGCAAAAATATTTACTCTGGAATGATCCAGGTCAGTGCCCAAGTCATTGACATAAAGAGAGAACAAGAGGGGGCCGAGGATGGAACCCTGTGGAACCCCTTTTGTTATCTTAACACTGTTTGACCTCCAACCATCTGTGAATACAGTTTGGGTGCGAGAAAAGAGGTAATTTTTTAACCATTGTACTGTGTTCTCGGAAAAACCGAGGCAACTTAGTTTACTAAGCAAGGTGTTGTGGTCTACTGTATCAAAAGCTTTGGACAGGTCAAGAAAAAGACAGGCACAGTACTGCTTATTTTCAAGGCTATTGTAAATTTTATTCAAAGAGTCTAATGCAGCAGATGTGGTGCTGTATTTTTTTCGGAACCCAGATTGTTTTCTGTTTTGGATGCCTTTTCGATATATTTGATTGTTTTTCAAAAAATCCTGGCATTTCCATGTGATTCCAGGAGAGTGGAGGAAAAGTAGGCATTTTACATGCCGTATTTTTTTTACGCATCTATTCCTTAAAATCCTGTATTCTAGCCAGTCATTGACCAAATTACTTTTCTGAGCACATGCCCAAGCCTTGTCCCTAGTTTTCATGAGCTTTGCAATCAAAGGATCATACCATGGTGGGCGGTTGCCTTTAGTTTTAAATCTAACCAACGGAGCATGTTTGTTAAGAATTTGGAGAAACGTGTACCTGAAAGTCTCCCAAGCCGTAGTCAGGTTGGGGATATCACAGACCTTGTCAATATCCGAGTGAGCACATCATTTGTAAATGCCTGAGTGCTGAAGTGCCTCAAAGAGTGCTTCTCAACAATTTTAGGGGGGGCTTTGGGTCTGGCTGATGATCTCACCCCAAAAATGAAGGAGTGATCACTAAGGTTATTACCCAGAACACCAGTCAGTGTGAAATTGTGAGGGGCATTTGTCAATAGGACGTCAAGCAGAGTTGACTGTCCCGGATTTTTTTGGTTGGGTCTTATGGGGACATTAATTAATTGAAACAGGTTAAATTCATCTGTAAAATTTGTGGCCACGGCCGGCGGGTTTAGCCAATTCCAATTTAGATCACCCACTAAAACTATTTCACCTTTAGGGAGGCCCCCAAAAAGCTCTCTCAGTGCCGATGCAGCTTCAACATCCTTCCCACAAGGCGGTCTATAGCAGCACACTACCAATATCTATTGATTATTTGGGAGAGTTATTCTGAGAGCCAAACCTTCAAAGCAACATTTTTTAAACAAGGAGTGAGCTGGTGAACATGCAATAGTGTTACGAACATAGATGGCAATTCCACCTCCTTTAGATCCTTGGTCAAGCCGAAAAAGGTTGTAGCTTTCAATCGTAATCTGCACCACCGATCAACCCACCCACCCACCATCCATCACCCACCCACCACCCACCCACCACCCACCCACCACCCACCCACTCACCCACCAACCACCCACCCACCCACCCACCCACTCACCCACCCACCACCCACCCACCACCCACCCACCACCCACCCACTCACCCACCCCCCACCGATCAACCCACCCACCCACCATCACCCACCCACCACCACCCACCCACCATCACCCACCCACCGTACCTCCCGCTGTGCCGTACGCCTCCTCCGCCCTCTCCGCTGCGGCAGCGGCCGCTGCCATCGCGATCGCCCGGGCAAACCCGGCAACGTCGGGGGAGAACTCCCCGGCAACGCCGGACCTCTCATCCTCACCCTCCTCCTCCTCCTCACCACCACCACCACCGTCGTCGTCATCACCATCGTCATCGCCATCGTCGTCGTCGTCTTCATCGTCGCCCACGCTCTCACAGTCCCCGAAATCCCGCTCGTCATCGTCTTCATCGTCGTCCGAGCCCCACCCTCGTCGCTCAACACCGGAGCCCCCCCGCACCGACCCCCCCGCCGGCGAGCCCCCCGCAAGCGAGCCCCCCGCCAGCGAGCCCCCCGCAAGCGAGCCCCCCGCCGTGGCGGCGAGCGCCGCAGTGCGGCCGATCTCCGGCAGGCTCAACTGCGAAGCTCGACGCTGGGACCGTCGCTCCTCGTGGTACTGCTGCTCCTGCTGCTGCTGCTGCTCCTGCTGCTCCTGCTGCTGCTGCTGGTACTGCTGCTGCTGCTGCTGCTGCAGGTACAGCTGCTGCTGGTACTGGTACCGCTCGCCCCCGGCACCGTGCGAGCGAGACGCTTGGTAGAGGCGGAGCGGGAAGGTCGCTTGCTCGAGAGGCCTCGCGAAGACTTCGTCGGCCGGACCCTGCTGCTGCTGCTGCTGATGTTGATGTTGATGTTGTTGGTGTTGTTGTTGGTGTTGTTGGTGTTGTTGTTGGTGTTGTTGGTGTTGTTGTTGGTGTTGTCGCAGGCCATAGAGCAGCGCCACTTCGGCGGGGTCCGGCCGGATGACGCCCAGGCTGGCCTGCCGCCCGTGGTGGTGGTGGTGGTGGCGGTGGTGGTGGTGGTGGGTGGGGAGGTCGCAGTGCTGGACGGCGCCCTCCCCCGGGAAGCCGGCGGCGGTGACGGTGGCGGTGGAGTCGTTGGTGGGGGGGGAGTTGGTGGGGGGGGAGGTGGTGGGGGGGGAGTTGGTGGGGAGGGAGTCGTCGTCGTCGTCGAAGAGCGGGGTGAAGGAGGAGGGGTAGTAGGCCGCCCGGGTAGGCGAGGGGGATAGCGGGGGGCTGGCCGTGTCGTGCCTGCCAGTGGGGGGGGGTGGGGGGTACACAAGGTGAGTGGTGGGGGTGGTGAGTGGGGGGTGGTGAATGGTGGGGGGGGGGGAAGGTGAATGGTGGGTAGGTGAGTGGGGGGGTGGTGAGTGGTGGGGGTGGTGAATGGTGGGGGGGGGGGAAGGTGAATGGTGGGTAGGTGAGTGGGGGGGTGGTGAGTGGTGGGGTGGTGAGTGGTGGGGGTGGTGACTGGTGGGGGGGGGGGGAAGGTGAAGGGTGGGTGGGTGAGTGGGGGGGTGGTGAGTGGTGGGGTGGTGAGTGGTGGGGGTGGTGAATGGTGGGGGGGGGGGGAAGGTGAATGGTGGGTAGGTGAGTGGGGGGGTGGTGAGTGGTGGGGTGGTGAGTGGTGGGGTGGTGAGTGGTGGGGTGGTGAGTGGTGGGTGAGGTGAGTGGTGGGTGAGGTGAATGGTGGGTGAGGTGAGTGGTGGGTGAGGTGAGCAGTGGGTGAGGTGAGTGAGTGGGGGGAGGGGAGGTGAGTGGGGAGGGGAGGTGAGTGGTGGCGTGGCTTGGAGGGAGCTTGCGATGACACCCCCCCCTCCCCCCCACTAGCCCCCACCCCCCGCCCCACCCACCCGACACCGCGACCGGTACCTGCCGACGGCGCGGTGCCGTGACTCGGAGAGCGGCGGCGGTGGCGGTGGTGGCGGTGGTGGCGGCGAGGGCGTGGGCGTGAGCGTGGCCGTCGACTGGTGGCCGTACGAGGCCGCCGGCGACAGCGGCGCCACCGCCGCCGCCCGCCTCGCCGGCGCGTCGGGGCTCGGCGATCGGCGAGGGGCCGGCGGAAACGCCGGGGCGGTGGGCGGTGGGCGGTCGTCGTCGGCGTCGTCGGCGTCGTCGGCGTCGGCGTCGGCGTCGGCGTCGGCGTCGTCGCGGTGGTGGTGGTGGTGGTGGTGCGGGAAGGAGCCGTCGCTCTCGTAGCTGGCGGTGGGTGGTGGGGGGTGGGATGGGGGTGAGAGGGGGTGAGAGAGACCGGCACGGAGTGGGTGAGGGAGGGTGGCGGCTGGCGAACGGGGGGAGTGGATGGATGAAAAGATGAATGGACGGGTGGACGGGTGGACAGGCGAACAGATGGATGGATGGATTGACGGATGGTTGGACAGGTGAACAGATGGATGGAGGGATGGACAGATGGATGGACGGTTGGATGGTTAGACAGGTGAACAGATGGATGGATTGACGGATGGTTGGACAGGTGAACAGATGGATGGATGGACAGATGGACTGACGGTTGGATGGATGGATGGTTGGACAGGTGAACAGATGGATGGATTGACGGATGGTTGGACAGGTGAACAGATGGATGGAGGGATGGACAGATGGATGGACGGCTGGATGGTTAGACAGGTGAACAGATGGATGGATTGACGGATGGTTGGACAGGTGAACAGATGGATGGATGGACAGATGGACTGACGGTTGGATGGATGGATGGTTGGACAGGTGAACAGATGGATGGATTGACGGATGGTTGGACAGGTGAACAGATGGATGGATGGACAGATGGACTGACGGTTGGATGGATGGATGGTTGGACAGGTGAACAAATAGATGGACGGATCGATGGTCGGATGGACAGATGGTTGGACAGGTGAACAGATGGATGGATGGATGGACAGATGGATGGACGGCCGGATGGACGGACGGTTGGATGGACGGATGGACGGGTGGACAGGTGAACAGATGGATGAATGGATGGACAGATGGATGGACGGTTGGATGGACGGACGGTTGGACAGGTGAACAGATGGATGGATGGATGGACAGATGGATGGACGGATGGTTGGACAGGTGAACAGATGGATGGATGGACAGATGGACGGACGGTTGGATGGATGGATGGTTGGACAGGTGAACAGATGGATGGATTGACGGATGGTTGGACAGGTGAACAGATGGATGGATGGACAGATGGACTGACGGTTGGATGGATGGATGGTTGGACAGGTGAACAAATAGATGGACGGATCGATGGTCGGATGGACAGATGGTTGGACAGGTGAACAGATGGATGGATGGATGGACAGATGGATGGACGGCCGGATGGACGGACGGTTGGATGGACGGATGGACGGGTGGACAGGTGAACAGATGGATGAATGGATGGACAGATGGATGGACGGTTGGATGGACGGACGGTTGGACAGGTGAACAGATGGATGGATGGATGGACAGATGGATGGACGGATGGTTGGACAGGTGAACAGATGGATGGATGGACAGATGGACGGACGGTTGGATGGATGGATGGTTGCACAGGTGAACAGATATATGGACGGATCGATGGTCGGATGGACGGATGGTTGGACAGGTGAACAGATGGATGGACGGCCGGATGGACGGACGGTTAGATGGACGGATGGACGGGTGGACAGGTGAACAGATGGATGGATGGATTGACGGATGGTTGGACAGGTGAACAGATGGATGGATGGATGGACAGATGGATGGATGGATGATTGGACAGGTGAACAGATGGATGGATGGACAGTTGGACGGACGGATGGTTGGACAGGTGAACAGATGGATGGATGGATGGACAGATGGATGGACGGATGGTTGGACAGGTGAACAGATGGATGGATGGACAGTTGGACGGACGGTTGGATGGATGGATGGTTGGACAGGTGAACAGTTAGATGGACGGATCGATGGTCGGATGGACGGATGGTTGGACAGGTGAACAGATGGATGGATGGATGGACAGATGGATGGACGGCCGGATGGACGGACGGTTGGATGGACGGATGGACGGGTGGACAGGTGAACAGATGGATGAATGGATGGACAGATGGATGGACGGTTGGATGGACGGATGGTTGGACAGATGAATGGATGGATGGACGGCTGGTTGGACAGGTGAACAGATAGATGGATGGATGGACAGATGGATGGACGGACGGATGGTTGGATGGACCATCCATACCAATAGCATCCTACAACTATGTAAATTGAATACGCTGCTGGCTAAGTATGACGCAAAAGAAGCCCAACACACACATACCAAGCAAACATCTAAAAAATTTACGAACAAATGTAATGTTGTTTGTTATTGTTGTTGTTTGTGTTTACCCATCCTCGGTGGGGGTGAGTGCGTGGTGGTTGGGGTGAACGGGAGGCGGAGGCAGGAGATGGGCCCAGTGCAGGCCTGGCTGGCGTGCTCCTCGACCTGCGTAGCCACCATCACCACCATAACCACCATCATCACCATCACCACCGTCACCACCGTCACCACCGTCACCATCACTACCGTCACCATTATCACCATCACCACCGCCACCATCACCACCGTCACCATCACCATCACCACCGTCACCACCGTCATCACCATCACCAAAATCACCGTCACCGTCACCACCATCACCACCACCACCATCACCGTCACCACCATCACTACCATCACCACGATCACCACCGCCACCATCACCACCATCACCATCACCACCGTCACCATCACCACCGCCACCACCATCACCACCATCACCGCCACCATCACCTTCACCACCATCACCACCGTCACCACCGTCACCATCGTCACCATCACTACCGTCACCATCACCACCATCAACACCGTCACCGTCAACACCATCACCATAAACACCGTCACCAATACCGTCACCATCACCACCGTCACCACCATCACCATCACCACCATCACCATCATCACCACCATCACCACCGTCACCAACATCACCACCGTCACCACCATCACCACCGTCACCACCATCACGATCACCATCAACACCGTCACCACCATTACCATCAACACCGTCACCATCAAGACCGTCACCATCATCACCACCATCACCACCATCACCACCATCACCACCGTCACCATCACCACCGTCACCATCGCACTCCATCATTGTCACCCACCACCACCATCATACACCATCACACAACATCACACACCATCACCAACATCACACACCATCACACACCATCACACACCATCACCAACATCACTCACCATCACCACCATTACCCACCATCACACATCACTCACCATCACTCACCATAACCACCATCACTCACCATCCCACACCATCACCACCATCACCCACCATTATAGCTGCCACTGGGGGTGCCCCTAGGCTAGACCACACAGCAGCGGCAATCATCGCTACCCCTCCTGCTGGCAGCAGACTGATGCACAGGGACAGCTGCCACTGGGGGTGCCCCTAGGCTAGACCACACAGCAGCAGCAGCAACCATCACCACCGCTACTGGCAGACCGATGCACAGGGGGACAGCTGCCACTGGGGGTGCCCTTATTTCAAATGTGCCGAGATGTCAAGGGGCGGATCAAGGTCTTGGCAGAAGCTAGGAGCATAGAAGAACGGTACAATAATTCTACTCCGCTGCACTACTGTTGTGCGCCACGTGGCACTTGTTATGCATGGTGGTCGCCAATTGCAAAAAAAAAAATGCATTAGCCAGGGTCCAATAGACCGGCTCGGATTCCGAAGTAAGATGATTTGGCCATGTGCTCAGTGTCTTTGTATATAAGAATAGGTTTGACCCTTTCTGGCCATAATAAAACAGTTGTGTGAAAGACGTTAAAACAAAAAAAAAAACTGAAGACCTTTAGCAAGGAATCGTGTCACTCCATCAGCCCCACGCGGTACTTGCGGTGAGCCATGCTTCTGATAGTGGCATTGCCCTTGTGCTGTTCCGCCTGTTTGGTTTCAGTTGCGAAAGGTTTCAGTTTGGTGTCTTGTCATCTTAACACAAGTTGCTTTTGATACTGGCACATTTTCACGCTGGCAAGGGAGTTCCCATTGGTGTAGCTGCTCAGCCCCGAGCTCTCGATGTCCTGCTAGTGGCATTGCACTTGTGCTGTTTCGCCTGTTTGGCGTCCTCTGGTCTAACACCGGTGGTGAGACTGGGCCCTAAAGAAAGCCGTCTATGGTGTGGACCAATCAGTTTCAAAGACGATGCCAGCATATGCTACTAGAGGATGTCTTTGGTTTGCATGTTCACCACAAGTATGCGTGCGTGGTTAATGCACTACACGATTGCTTGCAAAAAGGTCTTCACTTTGGGTGTTTTAAACATCGTAACACAACTGTTTTCATTATGGACAGAAAGGAGTTCAACCAATTATGAAATTTTGTACACCGGCAAGGGAGTTCCCATTAGTGTAGCTGCTCACCCCGAGTTCTCAATGTCCTGCTAGTGGCATTGCACTTGTGCTGTTTCGCCTGTTTGGCGTCCTCTGGTCTGACACCGGTGGTGAGACTGGGCCCTAAAGAAAGCCGTCTCTGGTGTGGACCAATCAGTTTCAAAGACAATGCCATCATCATCTTATACGACCAGAGCGTGTTGTTCGTTTTCATATTCGCCACACGTGTGTGTGTGTGTGTGATTAATGCTTCGCATGATTCCTTGCAAAAGGTTTGCGTTTGGTGTTTTAACATCTTAACACTAACTGTTTCATTTCCAGAAAGGGTAAAAGCCCTCTTATTGCATTCACTTTGTATGTTTACGTAATATATGTAACTCAGATTTGTACGTTAATGTCACCAGCACGACTACACTATCCCCACCATCACACTCCCATCACCACCATCACCGCTATCACACCAATGTTACCAACATCATACCACTATCATCATCGACCCATCACACCACCCATCCCCACCATCACACCACCATCACACCCTCCATCCCCATCATCAACACCCCATCATCACCACCACCACACCCCCATCACCAGCATCTCACCATCACACCACCCATCGCCACCATCAGCACCCCATCATCATCAGCACCACCACCACCACCACCATAATCACACCATCACACCATCCATCCCCATCATCAACACCCCATCATCACCACCACCACCACACCCCCATCACCATTATCACACCACCACACCCCCATCACCATCATCACACCATCACACCCTCCATCCACATCATCAACACCCCATCATCACCACCACCACACCCCCATCACCAGCATCACACCATCACACCACCCATCCCCACCATCAACAGCCCATCACCACCATCACACCCATCACAACCCCCATCCCCACAATAAACACCCCATCATCACCACCACCACACCACTATCACCAGCATCACACTCTCCATCGCCACCATCAGCACCCCATCATCATCAGCACCACCACCATAATCACACCATCACACCCCCCATCCCCACCATAAACACTCCATCACCACCACCACTAAATCCCCATCACCATTACCATTATCACACCCCCCATCATCAACACGCCATCACCACCACCACCACCACACCCCCATCACCATTATCACACCATCACACCCTCCATCCACATCATCAACACACCATCATCACCATCACCACACCCCCATCACCATTATCACACCACCACACCCCCCATCACCATTATCACACCATCACACCCTCCATCCCCATCATCAACACCCCATCATCACCACCACCACACCCCCATCACCATTATCACACCACCACACCCCCCATCACCATCATCAACACCACCACACCCTCCATCCCCATCATCAACACCCCATCATCACCACCACCACCACACCCCCATCACCATTATCACACCACCACACTCCCCATCACCACCATCAACACCCCATCACCACCACCACCACACCCCCATCACCATTATCACACCACCACACCCCCCATCACCATCATCAACACCACCACACCCTCCATCCCCATCATCAACACCCCATCATCACCACCACCACCACACCCCCATCACCATTATCACACCACCACACCCCCCATCACCACCATCAACACCCCATCATCACCACCACCACACCCCCATCACCATTATCACACCACCACACCCCCCATCACCATCATCAACACTACCACCACCACACCACCACACCCCCATCACCATTATCACACCACCACACCCCCATCATCAACACTACCACCACCACACCACCACACCCCCATCACCATCATCAACACCCCATCATCACCACCACCACACCCCCATCACCACCACCACACCACCACACCCCCATCCCCATCATCAACACCACCACCACCACACCACCACGCTGACCCCTCCCCCGCTCACCAGTCACAATTGCTCCCTGCTCCGCCCCTGGCCCCCATAGGGCGCCCCCGTCCTCCTCTTCCCCCGCCGCCCCGGCAACCGCCGTCGCCCCGGCAACCGCCGTCGCCCCGGCAACCGCCGTCGCCCCGGCAACCGCCTCCACGCCCTCCGGCGACCGCGGCGGCGACACCTCGCGAGCCGCTGCCGCCCCCTGCCGTTGCCGCTGATGCTGCTGACGATTCTGCTGACGATGCCGCTGACGATTCTGCCTCTCCGCCGTCGGGTAGAACGGCGACGATGACGGCGGCGACGGCGGCGGCGACGGCGGCGGCGGCGGCGGCGGCCGCGGCTGCTCGTGGGTACCGGCCCCGAGCAGCCGTCTCCACGGCTCGCGTCCGCCGGGGCTGCTGAACGTCTTCATGGCCCCGGGGCCGCCGACGCGGCAGCGGACCGAGGCCCTCGCCGCCTCGCCGCCGTCGCCGCCGTCGCCGCCGTCGTCGCCGCAGACGTCGCCCGAGCCGGAGCCGGACGAGCCGGACGAACCGCCGGCGGCCGCGGCGCCGGGGAGGCCGCCGGGGAGGCCGGCCGTGCCGTTGAGGGCCCGCGACGGCTTGAAGTCACGGGCCGCCTCGGAGGAGGAGGGGCAGCCCAGGTCCCGGTCCTTGCCCACCTCCAGCTGGGAGAAGTTGGGCAGGTGGTCGTCTGCGGGCACATCGATCACGAGCAGAGCGGCGATTGTTGATGGCACGCAGGAGGCGGGACCACGACGGATTGGAGATGTCGACTAGCTCGCCCGGTGCGCAGGAGGTCGCGGGTTCGATCCCGACCCTGACGTCTGCTGCTGCTGCTGTATATTTGGAGTTTGCGTGTCTCTCTCTCTCTCTCACATGATCATCACAGTGTCTAGGAGATGTTAACTAGCTCGCCTGGACTACAGGAGGTCGCAGGTTCGATCCCGACCCTGACACCTGCTGTATATTTCGAGTTTGTGTGTCTCTCTCTCTCTCTCACATGATCATCACAGTGTCTAGGAGATGTTAACTACCTCGCCTGGTATGCAGGACGTGTCGGGTTTTGATCCAGACCCTGATGCCTGCTGCTGTATATTTGTAGTTTGCGTGTCTCTCTCTCTCATCATCATCATCACGGTGTCTAGGAGATGTTAACTACCTCGCCTGGTATGCAGGAGGTGTCGGGTTTTGATCCAGACCCTGATGCCTGCTGCTGTATATTTGGGGTTTGCGTGTCTCTCTCTCTCTCTCACATGATCGTTACAGTGGCGAGGGGAAGTTAACAACCTCACGGGGGTCTACGGGAGGTCGTGGGTTCGATCCCGACCCTGACGATGCCTGCTGTATATACGGCGTCTGTGTGTCTCTGTTTCTCTACGGGTCCTCCGGTTTCCACCCCTCCCACCGTCCGCATTTTGAATCAACATTGCCACGCCTTCAGAGTGATTTGCGTGCGGGATGTTTAAACATCCACGTGACGATGACAAGCCCGCTCCGTTGAGCTATCATTCGTGATGGCCAGGTTGCTTCTGAAACACGAAAACAGCTGAGTGGGACCGTACCTGTTGCACAATAACAATAATAACAATAATAATGCTAACAATAATAAAAGACAATCTAGTTCAGCGAGTAAAATTTTGGTGAATCCGGCGAGCTCTAAGGGACGACGAACAGCCTCGCCGGCAAGATCGCCGACTTCCGCCGCTAGCCCGCCTGCATCGTTACCGCTGGATCGCCGATCTTGCCGACGATGCCAGCCGATGAAACGTATCGACGCAGCGGTTGAACCCCTGCGGTAAAAGAAGATCACCAAATTAACCAGCCCCGGCTTCTCGTTGCCGCTTTGTCTGTGACGTGACGGGCTGAGGAGGGGATCGACGCAAGGGGGGGGGGGTGGGGGGGGTGTTGGGGGTGTTGGGGTGGGTTGTTGACTCTTCTTGTGTCACGTGGAGGGGACGATGGGGGGAGTGGGCGGGGCTACCCTACTTGTGACGTTGAGGGGACGATGGGGGGAGTGGGCGGGGCTACCCTACTTGTGACGTGGAGGGGACGATGGGGGGAGTGGGCGGGGCTACCCTACTCGTGACGTGGAGGGGACGATGGGGGGGTGGGCGGGGCTACCCTACTTGTGACGTGGAGGGGGCGATAGGGGGAGGGGCTACCCTACTTGTGACGTTGAGGGGACGATGGGGGGAGTGGGCGGGGCTACCCTACTTGTGACGTTGAGGGGACGATGGCAGAGGGGGCGGGGCTACCCTACTTGTGACGTGGAGGGGACGATGGGGGGGAGTGGGCGTGGCTACCCTACTCCTGACGTTGAGGGGACGATGAGGGAGTGGGCGGGGCTACCCTACATGTGACGTAGAGGGGACGATGGGGGGAGTGGGCGTGGCTACCCTACTCGTGACGTGGAGGGGACGATTGGGGGGGGAGTGGGCGGGGCTACCCTACTTGTGACGTGGAGGGGACGATTGGGGGGGGGGAGTGGGCGGGGCTACCCTACTCGTGACGTGGAGGGGACGATTGGGGGGGGGGGGGAGTGGGCGGGGCTACCCTACTCGTGACGTGGAGGGGACGATTGGGGGGGGGGGGAGTGGGCGGGGCTACCCTACTCGTGACGTGGAGGGGACGATTGGGGGGGGGGGGAGTGGGCGGGGCTACCCTACTCGTGACGTGGAGGGGACGATTGGGGGGGGGGGAGTGGGCGGGGCTACCCTACTTGTGACGTGGAGGGGACGATTGGGGGGGGGGGGGAGTGGGCGGGGCTACCCTACTCGTGACGTTGAGGGGACGATTGGGGGTGGGGGGGGGGAGTGGGCGGGGCTACCCTACTCGTGACGTGGCGGGGACGATTGGGGGTGGGGGGGGGGGGAGTGGGCGGGGCTACCCTACTTGTGAGGTTGCTGTCGCTGCTGACTCCGGCGGTGGCACAGCAGCTGAGGGCACAGTCACCGTGGTGGTGGTGGGGGTGGCCCCCCCCGGCAGTGGGCCACGTGTCGGCCAGCCAGTGGTGAGACGCGTCCACGTGCATCAGGCCCGACCTTCTCGTACAAAGGACAAAGATCCCCCGTATAGCCTTAGCAGACTGTAGGGGCAAGTGCTGGTTAGCGAGCACCTATGAAGGCCGGTAACGGTACACGAGAGGGGTGGGTGGCCAGCACCACGCCCGGCCGCCTTTGTCTCCCCAGTGGCAATGTTTTTATCCACCGGACCAGGTACTCATTTGAGGCTGAGTCGACCTAGGGGAGGCCCAGGGACCGGTTCAGATAATCGTCACTGGTGTTGGCCGTGAGCGGGAATCGAACCCGGGTTTGCCAGGTTCATAGCGCAGCGTAGCGCTAACCACTACACTACCGCTCGTGCACACACACAGGCAAAGGCAAAGGTCCCCCGCACGGCCTGTGACGGACTGTTGGGGCAAGTGCTGTTAGCGAGTAGCAGCTATGAAGGCCCGAACGTGGGGGTGGGTGGCCAGCACCATCCCAGGGGCCGCCTTTGTTTCCCGTCCGTGGCGATGTTTACTGCACACCGCTACACCAGGTTACTCATTCGATGCCGAGTCGACCTAGGGGATGGCCCAGGACCGGTTCAGATAATCGTCACTGACGGCGTTGGCCATGAATCGGGAATCGAACTCGGGTAGCCAGGTTCGTAGCGCAGCAGCGCAAACCACTGCACTACCGCTCCCCACACACACACACCCTGTATAGCCCGAAACGTAGTGGTGTGCAGTAGTGTATGATGTAGTGTATCGTAGTTTGTATGCGTGTATGTTGAACGTCGTTTGCACCGCACGTAACCAACCGTGCTAAATGGAGTGTATAGTGTAGTGTATAGTAGTTCATAGTCTAGTGTATAGTGTGAATGTATGTATTTTAAACTTCTTTGGCACCGCATGTAGCTAAGCGTGCTAAATGGAGTGTATAGTGTAGTGTATAGTAGTTCATAGCCTAGTGTATAGTGTGAATGTATGTATTAAGAAATGATTTTGCACGGCACGTAGTCAACCGTGCTAATTGGAGTGTATAGTGTAGTGTATAGTAGTGTAGTGTATAATGTAGTGTATCGTAGTTTGTATGCGTGTATGTTGAACGTCGTTTGCACGGCACGTAACCAACCGTGCTAATTGGAGTGTATAGTGTAGTGTATAGTAATGTAGTGTATAATGTAGTGTATCGTAGTATGTATGCGTGTATGTTGAATGTCTTTTGCACGGCACGTAGTCAACCGTGCTAATTGGAGTGTATAGTGTAGTGTATAGTAGTGTAGTGTATGATGTAGTGTATCGTAGTATGTATGCGTGTATGTTGAATGTCTTTTGCACGGCACGTAGTCAACCGTGCTAATTGGAGTGTATAGTGTAGTGTATAGTAGTGTAGTGTATGATGTAGTGTATCGTAGTTTGTATGCGTGTATGTTGAACGTCGTTTGCACGGCTGGTAGCCAACTGTGCTAAATGGAGTGTATAGTGTAGTGTATAGTAGTTCATAGCCTAGTGTATAGTGTGAATGTATGTATTAAGAAATTATTTTGCACGGCACGTAGTCAACCGTGCTAATTGGGAGTGTATAGTGTAGTGTATAGTAGTGTAGTGTATAATGTAGTGTATCGTAGTTTGTATGCGTGTATGTTGAATGTCTTTTGCACGGCACGTAACCAACCGTGCTAATTGGAGTGAATAGTGTAGTGTATAGTAGTTCATAGTCTAGTGTATAGTGTGTATGTATGTATTTTGAACGTCTTTTGCACCGCACATAACCAACCGTGCTATATGGAGAGAATAGTACTCTTTGGTTCATCTTCTTTGGTTCTTTCGGTAAAGTCACGTGGGTAGAAACATTAAATAAATCACGACGTTTCGGGCGCAACACAAGCATCCGTCCACTCCTTTATGACCCTTGGTCTATAACAATTTCAAATCTTTTAAAACAGTCCCGAAGCGTGATTTATTTTATTTTGTACCTACGTAACTTTACCGAAAGAACCAACGTGTATAGCGTAGTGTATAGTGTAGTGTATAGTAGTGTATAGTGTAGTGTATAGTGTAGTGTATAGTAGTTTAGTGTATAGTGTAGTGTATAGTGTAGTGTATAGTGTAGTGTATAGTAGTGTAGTGTATAGTAGTGTAGTATGTAGTGTAGTGTATAGTAGTGTAGTGTATAGTGTAGTGTATAGTGTAGTGTACAGTGTAGTGTATAGTAGTGTATAGTGTAGTGTATAGTAGTGTATAGTGTAGTGTATAGTGTAGTGTATAGTGTAGTGTATAGTAGTGTATAGTGTAGTGTATAGTGTAGTGTATAGTGTAGTGTATAGTGTAGTGTATAGTAGTGTAGTGTATAGTGTAGTGCATAGTGTAGTGTATAGTGTAGTGTACAGTGTAGTGTATAGTAGTGTATAGTGTAGTGTATAGTGTAGTGTATAGTGTAGTGTATAGTAGTGTAGTGTATAGTGTAGTGTACAGTGTAATGTATAGTAGTGTATAGTGTAGTGTATAGTGTAGTGTATAGTGTAGTGTATAGTAGTGTAGTGTATAGTGTAGTGTACAGTGTAATGTATAGTAGTGTATAGTGTAGTGTATAGTGTAGTGTATAGTGTAGTGTATAGTGTAGTGTATAGTAGTGTAGTGTATAGTGTAGTGTATAGTGTAGTGTATAGTAGTGTAGTGTATAGTGTAGTGCATAGTGTAGTGTATAGTGTAGTGTACAGTAGTGTATAGTGTAGTGTATAGTGTAGTGTATAGTGTAGTGTATAGTGTAGTATGTAGTGTAGTGTATAGTAGTGTAGTGTATAGTGTAGTGTACAGTGTAATGTATAGTAGTGTATAGTGTAGTGTATAGTGTAGTGTATAGTGTAGTGTATAGTGCTGTATAGTGTAGTGTATAGTGTAGTGTATAGTGCTGTATAGTGTAGTGTATAGTGTAGTGTATAGTGTAGTGTATAGTAGTGTAGTGTATAGTAGTTTGTATGTGTGTGTTGAACTTCTTTCGCACCATACGTAGCCAACCGTGCTAAACGGAGTCTATAGTGTGGTGTATAGTAGTGTATAGTGTAGTGTATAGTGTAGTGTGGTCTATAGTAGTGTGTAGCGTGGTGTACAGTAGTGCATAGTGTAGTGTATAGTGTAGTGTATGGTAGTTTGTATGTGTGTATTGAACTTCTTTCGCACCATACGTAGCCAACCCTGCTCATCGGGGCTGCTGTTGTTACCTGCCAGTGCTGTTGTTGCCTTCGCCGCGTTGATACGTCACTGCAACACAAAGGCAAAGATCCCCCGTATAGCCTCAACAGACTGTAGGGGCAGGTGCTGTTTACCGAGTAGCAGCACCACCTGTGAAGGCCGGCACAGCACACGACTGGGGTCGGATGGCCAGCACCACGCCCCGACACAAACAAAGACAAAGGCAGAGGCGACCCGTGTAAACCTCACAACCTGACGGGGCAAGTGCTGGATAGCGACCCCTATAAACCGTGATTAATCACCATCCCCACCAGGTGCTGCTCGCTGACAGCACTTGCCCCCAACAGTCTGGTTTAGCTTCTTTGGTTCTTTCGGTAAAGTCACCACGTAGAATGAGAATAAAATAATAAATTGATGAAATAAAATAACACAATAATATTCTCACGACGTTTCGGCCACAACACAAGCGGCCTTCATCAGGTGAAGGGACGAGACTGTCTGGTAGGACAGCGCTGGAGTGAAAGAGCCACGTTCAGATCACGGCCTTTAAGCTGTGTGAGAGGAACAAAGCGCCTTGACAAAGGAATTAGCATATAATTTAGCATTGAAATGGCTGAATGATTAGCTTGTGACTGGTCACAGAAATAGCTATGTTAAAAGTTAAAGCATACACATCCGCAGAGGCACCCCTAGATAAAGGAATTAGCAGAGAATTTAGCATTGAAATAGCTAAGTTAAAGCATACACATCCGCAGAGGCACCCCTTGACAATGGAATTATCATAGAATTTAGCATTGAAATAGCTGAGTGATTAGCTTGTAACTGCTCACAGAAATAGCTACGTTAAAGTCAGAGCATACACATTCACCGAGGCACTTAGTACAAATCAAACAGGAGAATTTAGCATTGAAATAACTAGGCGAATTTAGCATTGAAATAACTGAGTGATTAGCTAGTGACTGGTCACAGAAATGACTATGTTGAAGTCAAGGCCTACACATCTGAGCTATTCACAGTACTATATAGTGAACCAATAAAAAAAACCTAAAATAAAAATTACCTTAATGTTATCAATAAACTCTATATTCTCCAATCAGCTAAGCTACCAACAATAAGTCGTTTAGGTTTCACAGCGGGGGGGGGTGGACCTTTTGTCAGTCGACCCGTGGCACCTGGGGTATGCCCCTCCGACCTCCTGCCGGCAGTAGTTTCACGTGGCCTGATAGGTGCACGTAGCCTGGCACGGTGCCGGATGAAGCTAGTGCGGGGCCTGTAGCACGTGTTATAAAGGGTCCCCTCGATAAAAATAAAAATGTGAAATATTAAAGCACACGCCTTTTGAACTTGCATAGTAAAGTAATTGTAATTTTTTTTTTTAATTTGCTCTACAGCCGGATAATACGAACAAATCGCTAGCCTTAAACACCCGGTCGTTCGTAAAAGTTGAAGGGCAGTATAGTACTATAGTAATAGAGCAAGTGCAGAGTCACTGAAACCGGAATTGATAACTTGACAGCGTTTTGCACGGGGCCTTTGAAAGTGCGGGGCCCGTAGAATTTGTAGGGGGCCGTCCATAAGTGACGTCACGCACGTCGGGGGGGCGGGGGGGGGGGTCAGACATTTGTGACGATGTGTGCTTAGGGGGGGGAGGGGTGGTTTGAGAAATGTGACGTCACGTAAAAATGCGCAACTTTAAATAAATACAGACAAACACGTTCTACTTAATTAAATAGTCTTTTTAATAAATGTTTTCTCCCTACAACATCAGAGTGCAGCGCCACATTAAATAACGCACTACAATGTGGCAATAGTTTAAAGCGATTTGAAGCATGTGTTTTTTTTGCGGGGGGTGGGTGGGGGTCAGAGCTTTGTGACGTCATATTCGAGGTGGGGGTGGGAGGTCTGACTTTTTGTGACGCCGTGTGACGAGGTGGAAGAGGGGGGTCAAAAAATCGCGTGACGTCATTTATGGACGGCCCCTACATACTGTTACTACTCGGATCATAAACCGGCACTGCTGCACAAGCGTCGTTGGTGGCATCTTTCGCCCGCTTGGGGGCGACTGACTGTTGTTATTGCGCGTGGTTCAGTTCAGTTCACTTACGAGGCATAGCCCTGCGAGCCGTGCGGCTCTTGAATCGGGCGCAACCACAGCAACAACAGCAACAACAAACATGAACAAGTGACTGCGCGCAACGGAGGAATCCAGCGGGGGAAAAAAAATGGCAAAGTCTTACAGAAAGAGCACCGTATATCAACGCGGTGTGCAAAAATCCCAGCGGGATGTAACGGTGTGGTATCATCGCCATCTGGTGGCGACTGACTGTTGTTATTGCGTGTGGTCGTGTGGGTACCATCGCCACCTGGTGGCGATTGACTGTCACCCGCAGACTGACCAGGCGCTTGATCAAGGCCCCCGTCAACAAATGCTCAGGGTGTTGTTCGGTTGTTGTCTGGGCGTTGTTTTGGGGTGTTGGTCGGTTGTTGTCTGGGCGTTGTTTTGGGGTGTTGGTCGGCTGTTGTCTGGGTGTTGTTTTGGGGTGTTGGTCGGCTGTTGTCTGGGTGTTGTTTTGGGTGATGGTCGGCTGTTGTCTGGGTGTTGTTTTGGGTGATGGTCGGCTGTTGTCTGGGTGTTATTTTGGGTGTTGGTCGGCTGTTGTCTGGGTGTTGTTTTGGGTGATGGTCGGCTGTTGTCTGGGTGTTATTTTGGGTGATGGTCGGCTGTTGTCTGGGTGTTATTTTGGGTGTTGGTCGGCTGTTGTCTGGGTGTTGTTTGGGTTGTTGGTCGGTTGTTGTCTGGGTGTTGTTTTGGGGTGTTGGTCGGCTGTTGTCTGGGTGTTGTTTTGGGTGATGGTCGGCTGTTGTCTGGGTGTTATTTTGGGTGTTGGTCGGCTGTTGTCTGGGTGTTATTTTGGGTGATGGTCGGCTGTTGTCTGGGTGTTGTTTTGGGGTGTTGGTCGGCTGTTGTCTGGGTGTTGTTTTGGGTGTTGGTCGGCTGTTGTCTGGGTGTTGTTTTGGGTGATGGTCGGCTGTTGTCTGGGTGTTATTTTGGGTGTTGGTCGGCTGTTGTCTGGGTGTTATTTTGGGTGATGGTCGGCTGTTGTCTGGGTGTTGTTTTGGGGTGTTGGTCGGCTGTTGTCTGGGTGTTGTTTTGGGTGTTGGTCGGCTGTTGTCTGGGTGTTATTTTGGGTGATGGTCGGCTGTTGTCTGGGTGTTATTTTGGGTGTTGGTCGGCTGTTGTCTGGGTGTTATTTTGGGTGATGGTCGGCTGTTGTCTGGGTGTTGTTTTGGGTGATGGTCGGCTGTTGTCTGGGTGTTATTTTGGGTGTTTCTGATGTTTTTCAGTTGTTGCCTGGGTGTTGTTTAGGTGTTATTCGGTTGTTGCCTGTGTGTTGTTTAGGTGTTATTTGGTCATTGGTCGGGTGTTGTTTGGGCGATTTTCGGCTGTTGTTTGGTCATTGACCGGGCGTTGTTTTGGTGTTGTGTGGGTGTTGTGTGTTGTTGTTCGCGGTGTTGTGTCGGGGTGTTGTCCACCACCGACCGAGGTGGCGTCATGCTCAGTACCTGACGGCGTGAATGTGAAAGACGGAACTGCGTGGGGGTGCACGGCAGGGAGCAGAGGGAGGGGGAGGGGGGAGGGGGGGGTGTGTGGGGGGGGGGCAGAAGAGGGTGGGGGGATGTGCGGGGGGGGGCAGAGGGGGGAGGACTGCGGGGGGGGGGGCAGAGGGGGGGGGTCACAAACACCAGCAGTCATCGCACGGAACCCACCGGAATCACAAGGGAGGCCAAGGCAGCATGTGGTTTTAGAAATAAATAAATATATAATAGGTGACGTTTCGGGAAATGGCCCTTCTTCATTCACCCGTTGACTCGTTCCTTCGCTCGTTCACCCACTCTCACAGTCACTCGTTCGCTCTCGCTCTCTAGCTCGCTCGCTTGCTCGCTCGCTCACTCACTCGCTCACACTGTCTCTCACTCTCTCTCGAGTTCGCTCGCTCACTCAGTCACTCACTCTGTCACTCGCTCACACTGTCACTCGCTCTGTCTCTGCTCGCTCTGTCTCTCACTCTCTCACTCGCTCACTCTCTCACTCGCTCTCTCACTCTCTCGCTCGCTCTGTCTCTCACTCTCTCACTTACTCACTCACTCTCTCGCTCACACTGTCTCTCACTCTCTCACTCTGTCACTCGCTCACTCTGTCACTCGCTCACTCTGTCACTCTCTGGCTCGCTCTGTCTCTCACTCTCGCTCGAGCTCGCTCGCTCACTCACTCGCTCGCTCACTCACTCGCTCGCTCTGTCTCTCACTCTCTCACTCGCTCACTCGCTCACTCTGTCACTCGCTGTCTCTCACTCTCTCACTCACTCACTCGCTCTGTCTCTCACTCTCTCACTCGCTCACTCACTCTGTCTCTCACTCACTCTCTAGCTCGCTCGCTCACTCTCTCACTCGCTCACTCTATCATTCTCTTACTCGCTCACTCCGTCACTCTATCACTCGCGTGCTCGCTGACTCATTCTCTCTCTCACTGACTCACTCACTCTGTCACTCACTCACTCGCTCACTCACTAATTTTCTCCTTGATTGATTCACTCATTCTCTCACTTGCTTGCTCTCTCACTCGCTCACTCTGTCACTCGCGCGCTCCGTTGATCGCTCGCTCACCCTCCCGCTCACTCACTCATTTTCTCTCTCACCGATTCACTCCTTCTCTCACCTGCATGCTCTCTCAGTCGCTCGCTCACTCGCTCACTCTGTCACTCTGTCACTCGCTTGCTCGCTGACTCATTCTCTTTCTCACTGACTCACTCACTCTGTCACTCACTCACTCGCTCACTCACTAATTTTCTCCTTCGTTGATTCACTCATTCTCTCACTCGCTCACTCTGTCACTCGCTCGCTCCGTTACTCGCTCGCTCGCTCACCCTCCCGCTCACTCATTTTCTCTCTCACCGATTCACTCATTCTCTCACCTGCATGCTCTCTCAGTCGCTCGCTCACTCGCTCACTCTGTCACTCGCTTGCTCGCTGACTCATTCTCTTTCTCACTGACTCACTCACTCTGTCACTCACTCACTCGCTCACTCACTAATTTTCTCCTTTGTTGATGCACTCATTCTCTCACTCGCTCACTCCGTTACTCGCTCGCTCGCTCACCCTCCCGCTCACTCACTCATTTTCTCTCTCACCGATTCACTCCTTCTCTCACCTGCATGCTCTCTCAGTCGCTCGCTCGCTCGCTCACTCGCTCACTATGTCACTCGCTTGCTCGCTGACTCATTCTCTTTCTCACTGACTCACTCACTCTGTCACTCACTCACTCGCTCACTCACTAATTTTCTCCTTTGTTGATTCACTCATTCTCTCACTCGCTCACTCCGTTACTCGCTCGCTCGCTCACCCTCCTGCTCACTAATTTTCTCTCTCACCGATTCACTCATTCTCTCACCTGCATGCTCTCTCAGTCGCTCGCTCGCTCGCTCACTCGCTCACTATGTCACTCGCTCGCTCGCTCGCTCGCCCACTCTCCCGCTCGCTCACTCACTGACTCAGCTTACCCTGTCACTCACCCACCCGCGCGCCCGCCCGCTCGCCCGCTCGCTCACCCTTGCTGGTGGAGGCGTAGGACGAGCCGAGCAGCCCCGCTCGCTTCTTCCGCTGCCGGTAGAGCCACACACTGAACACCATGAGCACGACCCAGCACGCCGTGCCGATGCCGGCGATGAACGCCGGCCGGCGCACCACGTCCGAGATCTGCTCAGCCAGGCTCACGTTGTCACCCGGCTCCAGCGGGCCACTCAGCGACGTCGCGTCTGTCCGTGGGGAGGTGTGGGTGGGGAGGTAGGCAGGAGAGACAAATGTGGTGTGATGGCGATGTGGAGATCGTGGCGAGTCCGCCAGGCCCACGGCGGCGGTGGTGGTGGTGGTGGCGGTGGTGGTTGCGGCGACGGTGGTGGTATGTGGTGATGGTGGTGGCGGCGGTGGTGGCGGTGTTGGTGGCGGTGGTGGTGGCGGTGTTGGTGGTGGCGGTGGTGGCGGTGTTGGTGGTGGCAGTGGTGGTGGTGGCAGTGGTGGTGGTGGCGGTGGTGGTGGTGGCGGTGGTGGTGATGGTGGTGGTGATGGTGGTGGCAGTGTTGGTGGTGGTGGTGGCGGTGGTGGTGGCGGTGGTGGTGGCGGTGGTGGTGGCGGTGGTGGTGGTGGTGTTGGTGGTGGTGTTGGTCGTGCGTTGCACTGCGAAACCCCGGGGACCCAAGTTCGATTCCCGCTCATGGCCACCGCCGGCGGTTATCTGGCGTTGGTGGCCATCAAGCGGGAATGGAACTTGGGTTGTCCGGGTTCGTACCCGCTACACTACCATTTTACACGAAAGATCCCCCGTGTAGCCTGAACAGACTGTTGGGGCAAGTGCTGCTAGCGAGCAGCCCCGACGAAGGCCCGAATGGCACACGAGGGGGTGGGGTGGCCAGCACCAAGCCCAGCCGCCTTTGTCTCCCCTGCAGCAATGTTTTAACGCACAGTAGCAGGTACTCGTTTGAGGCTGAGTCGACCTAGGGGAGGCTCGGGACCGGTTCAGATGACCGTCACTGGTGTTGGCTGTGAGCGGGAATCGAACCCGGGTGGCCGGGTTTTTAGCGCAGCTTAGCGCTAACCGCTACACTACCGCTCCCCCTACACAACAACAACAACAACCGCCATTCGCCACTAAGTGCCGGTGACGTCACCACGACGCTTGTGCCAGGCTATGTGCACCCTGAGGCCACGTGAAGTGTCGAACGCCCGCTGGCAGGAGGTCACGGGGCAGACCCAGCAGGTGCCACGGGTCGACTGACTGAGACGACTGGCTGATGCACCACCTGTGCCCCCTACTGTGCCAACTTGCTGTGCTTTAGCCACCCGGCGCTCCGCTCGTTGTTGTGAGCGTCGCTCCTCCGCCCTTCGTTGTTGTTGGAGGGCGACTGCCTCCAACTGCCCAGTAGCGTCCTTCACGAGCCTCCTCCACAGAGGCCGATCTTGACACCGCTGGTACCAGTCATCGGCAAGTCCACTCAGCTCCACGTACTCCTGTACCACATCACTCCATCTCTTCTCTAGCCCGTGCCGCGCCCCTTTATCCCCCTCGATCCGGCCGAACAAAAGCTGTTTCGGCATGCGGTGGCTGGGCATGCGGGCTACATGACCCAGCCAACGCAGCCTTGCCCGCCGGAGGAGCTCACCGATGGGACCTTGCCCAGATCTTTCAAGGATTTGTGAGCTCCTCACACAATCCAGTCTGGTTAAATCCAGGATGGATCGTAGGCAGGCCAGCCTAAATGTTTCTAACCGGCGAAGATGTTCCATTAGGGGGGGTCCACGTTTCGCAAGCTCACACACACACACGTTCACACACGCTCACAGACACACACACACGCTCACACACACACACGCGCGCATACACACACGCGCGCGTCCTCCGGTTACCTAGCAACACGTAGGCGGGCTCGCTGTGCGGTCCGACTCCGGCCGCGTTGCCCGCGGCGACGGTGAGGCCGTAGCGCACGCCGCCCAAGAGGCGCGGGATGGCGAGCGACAACGTGCTGCCGTCCACAGAGCGGATCACAGGCAGACGACTGTCGTTACCCCCACACCACACCTGGGGGGGGGGGGGGGGCGTCACGAAAAGCGTGGGGTGGTGGTGGTGGTGGTGGTGCGGGTGGGGGTGGTGATGGTGGTGGTGGTGGTGGTGTCAGTGGTGTCAGTGGTGGTGGTGGGGGCGGTGGTGGTGGTGGTGGTGGCGGAGGTGGTAGCATTGGTGGTGGTGGAATCGGCGATGTCAGTGGTGGTGGTGGCGGTGGTGGTGTTGGTGGTGTTGGTGGTGGGGGTGGTGTTGTTGTTGGTGGTAGTGGCGGTGGTGGTGGTGGTGGTGGCGGTGGTGTCAGTGGTGGTGGTGGTGTCAGTGGTGGTGGTGGTGATGGTGGTGGCGGTGGTGGTGGTGTCAGTGGTGGTGGTGGTGGCGATGGTGGTGGTGGTGTCAGTGGTGATTGTGGTGATGGCGGTAGTGATGGTGGTGGCGGTGGTGGTGGTGATGGCGGTGGTGTCAGTGGTGGTGGTGTCAGTGGCAGTGGTGGTGGTGGAATCGGCGATGTCAGTGGTGGTGGTGGTGGCGGTGGTGATGGTAGTGGTGGTGGCGGTGGCGGTGGTGTCAGTGGTGGTGGTGTCAGTGGTGTCAGTGTTGGTGTTGGCACCTTGTACTCTGTCAGCACGCCGTTGTGCTGCTCCTCCGGAGGTGGCTGCCAGGAAACCAGCACCCCGGTGTTGTTCTCCTCGGTGAAGGGATGCAGACGAACTTCCTGTGGGGGGGCGCCGGGGGCTGTGGGGGGGGGGTGTGGGTGGGGGGTGGGGGGTGTGGGTGGGGGGTGGTTACACCGTGGCGGTTCTAACTCACTCACACGCCCACCCACTCACTACACTACGCCACTATACACTACTATACACTACACTATACACTACACTATACACTACACTATACACTACACTATACACTACACTATACACTATACTATACACTACACTATACACTACACTATACACTACTATACACTACACTACTATACACTACACTATACACTACACTATACACTACACTATACACTACACTATACACTACACTACACTATACACTACACTATACACTACTATACACTACACTATACACTGCACTATACACTACACTTTACGCTACACTATACACTACACTATGCACTACACTATACTATACACTGCACTATACACTGCACTATACACTACACTACACACTACACTATACACTACTATACACTACACTACTATACACTACACTATACACTACACTACTATATACTACACTATTCACTACACTACTATACACTACACTATACACGACACTACTATACACTACTATATACTACACTATACACGACTTTACTATACACTACACTATACACTACTATACACTGCACTACTATACACCACACTACTATACACTGAACTACTATACACTAAACATTACACTGCACTATACACTACACGACTATACACTACTATAGACTACACTACTATACATTACTATGCAATACACTAGACACTATACTGCTGTACACTACACTACTATACACTACACTACTAAACACTACACTATACACTACACTAGACACTACATTATACACTACACTACTATACACTACACTATACACTACACTACTATACGCTAGACTATATGCAACACTACTATACAATACACTATACACTACACTATACACTACACACAACTATACACTACACTATACACTACACTATACACTACACTGCTGTGCACTACACTACTTTACACTACACTATAGACCACACCATACACTACACTACTATACACTACACCATACACTACACTACTATACACGACACTACCATACACTACACTATAGACCGCACCATACACTACACCACTATACACTACACAACTATACACTACACTTCTACACACTACACTACCACACACTACACTATAGACCACACCATACACGACACCACTATACACTACACTATACACCACACTACTATACACTACACTATACACTACACAACTATAACACCATACACTACACAACTATAACACCATACACTACACTACTATACACTACACTACTATACACTACTATACACCATACACTACACAACTATAACACCATACACTGCACTACTATACACTGCACTACTATACACTACACTACAATACACCATACACCACACAACTATAACACCACACACTACACTATAGACCACACCATACACTACACCACTACACACTACACTACTACACACTACACTACCACACACTACACTATAGACCACACCATACACGACACCACTATACACTACACTATACACCACACTACTATACACTACACAACAATACACCACACTACCATACACTACACTATACACCACACAACTATAACACCATACACTACACTACTATACACTACACTACTATACACTACACTACTATACACCATACACCACACAACTATAACACCACACACTACACTATAGACCACACCATACACTACACCACTACACACTACACTACTACACACTACACTACCACACACTACACTATAGACCACACCATACACTACACCACTACACACTACACTACTACACACTACACTACCACACACTACACTATAGACCACACCATACACTACACTACCACACACTACACTATAGACCACACCATACACTACACTACTACACACTACACTACCACACACTACACTATAGACCACACCATACACGACACCACTACACACTACACTACACACCACACCACGTTACACTACACAACTATACACCACACTACCATACACTACACCATACACCGCACAACTATAACGCCACACACTACACTACTATACACTACACTACTACACACTACACTACAATACACCATACACCACACAACTATAACGCCACACGCTACACTACTATACACTACACTACTATACACTACACTACTATACACCATACACCACACAACTATAACGCCACACACTACACTACTATACACTACACTACTACACACTACACTACTATACACCATACACCACACAACTATAACACCACACGCTACACTACTATACACTACACAACAATACACCACACTACCATACACTACACCATACACCACACAACTATAACGCCACACGCTACACTACTATACACTACACAACTATACACTACCATACACTACACTACTACACACCACACAACTATAACACCACACACTACACTACTATACACTACACTACTACACACTACACTACTATACACTATACACCACACAACTATAACACCACACGCTACACTACTATACACTACACTACTATACACTACCATACACTACACTACTACACACCACACAACTATAACACCACCATACACGCCACACACCTCACACCGCAACGCAACCACGACGTCCCGGTCACCTTCTTCGGGCGTCCGGAGCGTCCGCCCGGCGCTGGCATCGCCGCGCACGTCACCGTGGAAGGGCCGCACCTTCACGCGGTACGCGGCCCCCTTGCGGAGGCCCGATAGCACGGCGGCCCTCTCGGAAGGCCCGCGCACCTCCTCGCTCATCCACGGCGACCCGCCGCCGCCACCGGCGCCGGCGACCTCGTCGTCGCCCTCGTCGTCGCCCTCGTCGCCGCGGCCGACGAGGCGGTAGAGCACCTGGAATCCGTGGAGGAGCGGCGAAGGCTTCTCAACCTGCGAGAGGCGGACGCGCGGCGCTCGGCCTTGCGGGGATTTCGCCGCCCTCGCCCGGCGCTGGAGGAGGGCGCGTGTGGGGTGGATTCGATTCCGAACCCCCCACAAACCCCGGCGGTGCCGTGCGGTGCATTTGGGGGGCTCCGCGTGTCTCTCTCTATCTCATCGTCATCATCATCGTCGTCATCATCGTCACGGTGGTGAGATGTTAACTCGCTCGTCCGGTGTGCAGGAGGTCCTGGGTTCGATCCCGACCCTGACACCTGCTGTATATTTGGAGTCCGCGTGTCTCTCTTTCTCTCTCTCATCATCATCATCACGGTGGCTAGGAGATGTTAACTACCTCGCCTGGTGTACAGGAGGTCGTGGGTTCTATCCCGACCCTGACGCCTGCTGCTGCATATTTGTAGTTTGCGTGTCTCTCTCTCATCATCATCATCACGGTGGCTAGGAGATGTTAACTACCTCGCCTGGGGTACAGGAGGTCGTGGGTTCTATCCCGACCCTGACGCCTGCTGCTGCATATTTGTAGTTTGCGTGTCTCTCTCTCATCATCATCATCACGGTGGCTAGGAGATGTTAACTACCTCGCCATGGGGTACAGGAGGTCGTGGGTTCTATCCCGACCCTGACACCTGCTGCTGCTGTATATTTGTAGTTTGCGTGTCTCTCTCTCTCTCTCTCATCATCATCACGGTGGCTAGGAGATGTTAACTACCTCGCCTGGTACACAGGAGGTCGTGGGTTCGATCCTGACCCCTAAAGCCTGTTGCATATTTGGAGTCCGCGTGTCTCTGTCTCTCTCCCCGTGGTCGCGTGGGTTAATTTCCCCCTCCTCATTTAGGATCAACTTCAGGCGTTTCAGAGTGTTTGGCTGCTGTACATTTACAGATGATGATGATGAGGATGATGGTGATGATGATAAGCTACTTCGTTGAGCTATCATTTGTGGCCACTTTGCTTCTCAAAAAGATCTGCATAGCTCAATGGGCCTTACCTGCTAACAATATATATTTTTTTATAGTTTAGTCGTGTATAGTGTAGTATAGTAGTGTGGTGTATAGTAGTATAGTGTATAGTGCTGTGTATAGTAGTATAGTGTATAGTAGTGTAGTGTATAGTAGTGTCGAGTATAGTGTAGTGTAAAGTAGTGTAGTGTATAGTGTAGTGTATAGTGTAGTGTATTGTGTAGTGTATAGTGTAGTGTATAGTGTAGTGTATAGTAGTGTCGAGTATAGTGTAGTGTATAGTGTAGTGTATTGTGTAGTGTATAGTGTAGTGTATAGTGTAGTGTATAGTGTAGTGTATAGTAGTACAGTGTATAGTGTAGTGTATAGTAGTGTAGTGTATAGTAGTGTCGTGTAAAGTGTAGTTTATAGTAGTGTAGTGTAAAGTGTAGTGTATAGTAGTGTCGTTTATAGTGTAGTATAATAGTGTAGTGTATAGTAGTACAGTGTATAGTGCTGTGTATAGTAGTACAGTGTATCGTAGTGTAGTGTATACTGTAGTGTATAGTGTAGTATAGTAGTGTAGTGTATAGTAGTGTAGTGTATAGTGTAGTATAGTAGTGTAGTGTATAGTAGTGTAGTGTATAGTGTAGTGTATCGTAGTGTAGTGTATAGTATAGTGTATAGTGTAGTATAGTAGTGTAGTGTATAGTAGTATAGTGTATAGTATAGTAGTGTAGTGTATAGTAGTGTAGTGTATAGTGTAGTGTATAGTGTAGTATAGTAGTGTAGTGTATCGTAGTGTAGTGTATAGTGTAGTATAGTAGTGTAGTGCATAGTAGTGTAGTGTATAGTGTAGTGTATCGTAGTGTAGTGTATAGTGTAGTGTGCATGTATGCTGAACTTCTTTCGCACCGGACGTGAGCCAACCGCGCTAATCGGAGGTGTGGGCGGTGCGGGCGGTGTGGGGGGTGGGAGCTGTGGAAAGAACAACAAACTAAACAACAACAACAACAGCAACTAGCAGTTCTAAACGACGGGAAGTTTTTTGTTGTTGTCAAACCTTACCGTCCAGTGGAGCTGCGCGGAGGAGGAGGAGATGGTGACGGGGTTGAGGAGGCGGATAACGGCGTCCCCCAGAACGCTCTTCATGTCCGGCGGGTCGACGGAGTGTCCCGTGGGGCGGACGTCTGAAAGCGGCAGGGCCGGGCGGCGAGCGGATTCGGGAGGGGACGTGCCGGGGGTCGAGGTCACACGACGGGGGGGGGGGGGGGGGGGGGTTGAGCTCAGGCCGGGGGGGGTAGGTCGAGAGCAACCCGGGATGAGGAGTCACGGAACGACGACGGATTGGCAGGTGGCCGGGCGGACGGACGAAGGCGGGGAACGCGGACAGGCAGGGCGACACGTAGACATACAGGCAGACAGGACGACACGTAGACATGCAGGCGGACAGGCAGGACGACACGTAGACATACAGGCGGACAGGACGACACGTAGACATACAGGCGGGCAGGACGACACGTAGACATACAGGCAGACAGGACGACACGTAGACATACAGGCAGACAGGACGACACGTAGACATACAGGCGGACAGGACGACACGTAGACATACAGGCGGGCAGGACGACACGTAGACATACAGGCGGGCAGGACAACACGTAGATATACAGGCAGACAGGACGACACGTAGACATACAGGCGGACAGGACGACACGTAGACATACAGGCGGGCAGGACGACACGTAGACATACAGGCGGACAGGACGACATGTAGACATACAGGCGGACAGGACGACACGTAGACATACAGGCGGACAGGACGACACGTAGACATACAGGCGGACAGGATGACATGTAGACATACAGGCAGACAGGACGACATGTAGACATACAGGCATACAGGACGACACGTAGACATACAGGCGGACAGGACGACACGTAGACATACAGGCAGACAGGACGACATGCAGACATACAGGCGGACAGGACGACATGTAGACAATCAGGCAGACAGGACGACACGTAGACATACAGGCGGACAGGACGACACGTAGACATACAGGCGGACAGGACGACACGTAGACATACAGGCGGAGAGGACGACACGTAGACATACAGGCGGGCAGGACGATTGGACGACAAAAAAAGAAGGAGCCGATGGATCGATGGATTCGTGGATGGCGTGGCTGAGGTCACACGCGGGGGGTTGAACTCAGGCCGGGGGGTCGGTCGATTGCCCCCGGGGATGGGGATTCACGGAACGACGACGGATTGGCAGGTGGCCGGGCGGCCGGACGAAGACGGGGAACGCGGACAGGCAGGGCGACCGGACGGACAGAACGCAAGCAAGAACAAAAAGCAAAAAACAAGGACGGAGCCGATGGGCAGATGGGCAGCCGGAGAGGGATGGACATACCAGGCTAGTGAGGGCGAACGCGCAGAGGCACAGACGCTCGAGGAGCAATGACCCGTTTACGATAATTTTTTTTTATTTAAAGCTTTCGTGAATACTGCAGGGATTCACATTCTTGGCTCTTTCGGCAAAGTCATTTTTTTATTTTCTTGCTGTGGTTTTCGCACCTGATGATGATTGCCAATTGTGTTGCAGTCGAAACAGCCGTGAGAATTTTACGGTGTTATATTTTTGTGTTACTTCATTGTTTCCCTTCCACGTGGTGACTTTACCGAAAGAACAAAGAATACGGTTTTCGGGTAATTCATCGCCGCCGCTGTTGGCCGTGAGTGGGCAATTGAACTCGCCGCCCGGGGGTTGGCAGGGCAGTACGCTGACCGCACACACACACACACACAGACACGCACGAAACAAAGATCCCCCCGTAGAGCTTTAACAGACTGTTGGGGCAAGCACTGGTCGCGAGGATCTATGAAGGCCGGCATGGCACGCGGGGTGGTCATAACCACGCCCGACCCGCCTTTGTCTTCCCAGTTGGCGATGTGTTTACACACCGCAAACAGGTCCTCATTTGAGGCCGAGTCGACCTAGAGGAGGCTCAGCACCGAGTCAGATCATCGCCACGAGTGGTGTTGGCCGTGAGCGGGAATCAAACCCGGGACGCCAGGATCGTAGCGCAGCGTAGTGCTGACCGCTACGGTACCACTCCCCACCACACACACACAGGTACACACACACCCCACATACATACATCCCATACACACACTACACACACCCCACACACTACACACACCCCACACACACCCCACACACCCCACACACACACACCCCACACACACACACCACACACACCCACACTCACACATCCCACACACACCCCACACACACCACACACACCCCACACACCACACACACACCACACACACCACACACACCCACACACCCCCCCCACACACCCCACACACACCCCACACACACCCCACACACCCCACACACACCCCACACACACACCCCACACACACACCCTACACACACACACCCCACACACACCCCACACCCACACACCCCCCCCACCCCACACACACCCCACCCACCCCACCCACCCCCACCCCCCACACACACACCACACGCACCCCCTACACACACACACCCCACACACACCCCACACACACTACACACACACCCCACACACCCCCACACACACCCTACACACACACCCACACACACACCCCACACACACCCCACACACACCACACCACACACCACACCACACACCCCACACCCCACCCCACACACACCCCACACACACACACCCCCCACACACACCCCACACACACCCCACACACCCCACACACACCCCACACACACACCCCACACACACACCCTACACACACACACCACACCCCCACCCCCCCACACACCCCCCCCACACACCCCACACACACCCAACCCACCCCACACACACCCCACACACACACCCCACACACACACCCTACACACACACACCCCACACACACCCCACACACACTACACACACACCCCACACACCCCACACACACCCTACACACACACCCCACACACACACCCCAAACACACCACACACACCCAACACCACCACCCACACCCCACACCCCACACCCCACCCAACACACACCCCACACCCACACACCCCACACACACACCCACACACACACCCCACACACACCACACCACACACACACCACACACCCCACACCCCACCCCCCCCACACCATACCACACCCACACGAACCCAAACACACACCCCACACACGCACCACACACCCCACACCCCACCCCACACACACCACACACACACACCACACACACACACCACACCCCACACACACCCCACACACACCCCACACCCCCCACACACACACACCACACACACCCCACACACACCCCACACCCCACACACACACCCCACACACACCCCACACACCCCACACACACACCACACACACCCCACACACACCCCACACACACCCCACCCACACACCCCACACCCCCCACACACACCCCACACACACACCCTACACACACACACCACACACACCCACACACACACTCCACACACACTACACACACACCACACACACCACACACACACCCCACACACACACCCCACACACACCCCACACACACACCCCACACACACCCCACACACACACCCCACACACACACCCCACACACACACCCCACACACACACACCACACACACACACCACACACACACCACCAAACACACCCACTCACCACACACACCACACACACACCACCCACACACACACCCCACACACACCCCACACTCACCTTGCGTGTGCACGGGATCCGAGAGTGCGCTCGGCTGGCTGAGTCCGTGTGGGTTGGCGGCTCGGACGAGGAATATGTAGACGGAGTTGGATCGCAGGCCACGCACCACCAGGGTCGTGGTCTCCACCCCCTCGCCCACCGTCAGCCAAGCGCCACCCAGCGACTGGCTGCTTCCACGCGCAAACAGGCGCCACCGGCGTGTTTCACCAGCGCTAGTTGTAGTGTATAGTGTAGTGTAGTGTGTAGTGTATAGTGTAGTGTGTAGTAGTGTAGTGTAGTGTATAACGTAGTGTAGTGTGTAGTGTATAGTGTAGTGTAGTGTGTAGTAGTGTAGTGTGTAGTGTATAGTGTAGTGTAGTGTGTAGTAGTGTAGTGTATAGTGTAGTGTATAGTGTAGTGTATAGTGTAGTGTATAGTAGTGTAGTGTATAGTGTAGTGTATAGTGTAGTGTATAGTGTAGTAGTGTATAGTGTTGTAATGTATAGTGTAGTGTATAGTGTAGTAGTGTATAGTGTAGTGTATAGTAGTGTAGTGTATAGTGTCGTGTATAGTGTAGTAGTGTATAGTGTAGTGTATAGTGTAGTGTAGAGTGTAGTGTAGAGTGTATGGTGTAGTGTATAGCAGTGTAGTGTGTAGTGTAGTGTATAGTGTAGTGTATAGTAGTGTAGTGTATAGTGTAGTGTATAGTGTAGTGTAGAGTGTAGTGTAGAGTGTACGGTGTAGTGTATAGTAGTGTAGTGTGTAGTGGAGTGCATATTAGTGTAGTGTATAGTAGTGTAGTGTAAAGTGTATAGGAGTGTATAGTGTAGTGTATGGTAGTGTATAACAGTGTAGTGGATAGTAGTGTATAGTGTAAAGTAGTGTATAGTGTGGTGTATAGTAGTGTAGTATACAGTAGTGTAGTGGATAGTAGTGTATAGAGTAGTATATCGTAGTGTAGTGCTTAGTGTAATTTATAGTGGAGTGTATAGTGTATAGTAGTGCAGTGTTTAGTAGTGTAGTGCATAGTCGTGTATAAAGTGGTGTAGTGTATAGTGTAGTGTATAGTAGTGTAGTATATGGTAGTGTTGTGCATAGTGGTATAGTGTATGGTAGTTAGGGTACATATTAGTGTATAGTGTAGTGTATGTTGGACTTTTTTCGCACCATACGAAGCCAACCGCACTGATCGGAGTTGGAGGAGAGGGGGAAGCACAACTAAACACGGGATCAAACCCACAACCGGACGAGGGAGTTAACATCTCACCACCGTGATGATGATGATGAGAGAGAGACACGCAAACTCCAAATATACAGCAGCAGGCGTCGGGATCGGGATCAAACCCACGACCTCCTGTACACCAGGCGAGGTAGTTAACATCTCCTAGCCACCACGATGATGATGAGACAGAGAGAGACACGCAGACTCCAAATATACAGCAGCAGCAGGCGTCGTCAGGGTCGGGATCGAACCCACGACCTCCTGTACACCAGGCGAGGTAGTCAACATCTCATAGCCACCACGATGATGATGATGATGAGACAGAGAAAGAGAGAGAGACACGCAAACTCCAAATATACAGCAGCAGCAGCAGCAGGCGTCAGGGTCGGGATCGAACCCACAGACCTCCTGTACACCTGGCGAGGTAGTCAACATCTCCTAGCCACCACGATGATGATGATGATGATGAGACAGAGAAAGAGAGAGAGACACGCAAACTCCAAATATACAGCAGGCGTCAGGATCGGGATCGAACCCACAGACCTCCTGTACACCTGGCGAGGTAGTCAACATCTCCTAGCCACCACGATGATGATGATGATGAGACATTGAGAGAGAGAGACACGCAGACTCCAAATATACAGCAGCAGCAGCAGCAGGCGTCAGGGTCGGGATCGAACCCACAGACCTCCTGTACACCAGGCGAGGTAGTTAACATCTCCTAGCCACCACGATGATGATGATGAGACAGAGAGAGAGACACGCAGACTCCAAATATACAGCAGGCGTCGTCAGGGTCGGGATCGAACCCACGCCCTCCTGTACACCAGGCGAGGTAGTCAACATCTCATAGCCACCCACACCTGTAGGCTTCGACGACGTAGGAGGTGGTGGGCACGGGGCCGCTGGGTTGCCACGTGAGAGTGACGGAGGTTCGCGTGACCCCTGTGACCTCAGGCTTGCTGGGAGGAGAGGGGACCTTGCTGAGGTCAGCGGTGCGGCCCTGACCAATGAGACCCGTGTACTCTGGTGGGGGGGGGGGGGGGGTAGGTGAGGGTGGTGGGGGGTAGGTGGAGGTACGGGATGGGAAGGGGAGAGGTGGGTGGGGTAGGTGGGGGGATGTATGCGACAGAGGGGAGGGGTATGGGGGGGGGAGTGTGGGGTCATTCAATCGAGACGATAGGCGGAGCTAGGCGTGAAGCAAACCAAGCAAAGGTTAAGCAGCCCAAGTAGCTCAAGAGTGGGGGGGGGTCCATTATAATCCATGGACCCCCCCCCCTCTCCTACAATTGACAAATCAGGAGGGGTACACCAACACCACTCATGCATCGAATTCACATCACAATTAACGAGCGGGCGAATCTATCTGATCGCCGGCTTGTCTGCACGTCTCTCATCTCACTACAACTTAAAGCTGAGACAAATATTATTATTATTATTATTATTTTTTACTTCACCAAGTAGGGAAGGCCCCCACTGATTTACGTAGCTGCGTTTCAGAGGCGACGAATGATGGCTCAACGACGCGGCTTCTTATCATCGTCATCATCATCACGCGCGAATTTATAGAAGCAGTCAAATACTCTGACCGCGTCACCGTCGATTCTAAACGTGGAGGGGGAAGACCGGAGGGAAGAAATCCACGTGACGGTGGACGGAGAGACACGCAAACTCCAAATATACTGAACATAAACAATGAACTTAGTTCATTTCTAGAGTTGAAGCTTTCGTGACTGCAAGGATCCACACTCTTTGGTTCTATTCGGTAAAGTCACGTCGGTAAAAATTAAGCAATCATTGGAAAGATGTTCTAAGTCAAACCAAACATTAAACTAATTAAATTTTGATTTAAAGCTTTCGTGACTGCAATAATTCATATTCTTAGTTTTTTCGGTAAAGTCACGTTGAAGAGAAACAACAAAATAATAAAATATATATAAAACAATTTTATTATTTTGTTGTTTCTCTTCAACGTGACTTTACCGAAAAAGCTAAGAATATTAAACTAATTTTCAATGGTACAGTATATTTTTTCAAGTAGTGGTATCCCAAACTTTCACAGCTGCTTAATTCTCTCCACACCCACATTATGTAAACTCCCCCTCCCCCTTGCACCTGGTCCATCATGGTCCCCCCCGTGCCTGGTCCATCATGGTCCATCATGTACCTCCTACGAACATCATGCTCATTTTTACGCTAATTCCTTTGTTAAAGTGCCTTTGTTTCCTCCCACACAGCTTAAAGGACGCGACCTGGGCTTGGCTGTTTTCACTCCAACGCTGTCCTCATGACAGCACGGTCCCTCCACCTGATGAAGGCCACTTGTGTTGTGGCCGAAACGTCGTGATTTTTGTTGTTTTATTTTTTAACCTACGTGAACTTAGTTCATTGTTAGCAGGCAAGGCCCACTGAGCTATATAGCTCTTTTTCATAAGCAACCTGGCCACAAATGATAGCTCAACGAAGTGGCTTACCACGTGGACATTGACCGCAGCCATGAACTCTTAAACACTTGTTGATTATAAATGTGGAGGGAAAAATCGGAGGACCCGGATTAAAAAGCCAGGGTCGGGCCCACAAATGATAGCTCAACGAAGTTGCCTTACAGCATGGACATGTGTTGCAGCAAAATAATCTACATGAATAATACAGATGTCATGACGATAGAGCCGGCATGCGGTGTGAGGGGACTAGTGGCCACGGAAAGTAATGACAAGGAGGTCAGCCTACAGTGCGAATGGATTTGTGGCCACGGGAGGTAATAACAGGGGAATCAGTTGTGAGTGTGAAGGGACTGGTGGCCACGGGAAGTAATGACAGGGGAGTCAGTTGTGAGTGTGAGGGGACTGGTGGCTACGGGAGGTAATGACAGGGGAGTCAGTTGTGAGTGTGAAGGGACTGGTGGCCACGGGAGGTAATGACAGGGGAGTCAGTTGTGAGTGCGAAGGGACTGGTGGCCACGGGAGGTAATGACAGGGGTATCAGTTGTGAGTGAAGGGACCGGTGTCCACGGGAGGTAATGACAGGGGAGTCAGTTGTGAGCACGAAGGGACTGGTGGCCACGGGAGGTAGTGACAAGGGTATCAGTTGTGAGTGTGAATGGACTAGTGGCCACGGGAGGTAATGACAGGGGAGTCAGTTGTGATTGCGAAGGGACTGGTGGCTACGGGAAGTAATGACAGGGGAGTCAGTTGTGAGTGTGAAGGGACTGGTGGCTACCGGAGGTAGTGGCAGGGGAGTCAGTTGTGAGTGCGAAGGGACTGGTGGCCACGGGAGGTAATGACAGGGGAGTCAGCTGTGAGTGTGAAGGGACTGTTGGCCACGGGAGGTAGTGACAGCGGTATCAGTTGTGAGTGTGAAGGGACTGGTGGCCACGGGAGGTAATGACAGGGGAGTCAGTTGTGAGTGAAGGGACCGGTGGCCACGGGAGGTAATGACAGCGGTATCAGTCGTGAGTGCCAAGAGATCGGTGGCTACGGGAATGTTCGAGAAGGGGGCGTGGTCAGGCGACGGAAGAGGACGGTGGAGTCCAGAGTCAGCGAGAATGGTCGAGAAGGGGGGCGTGGCCTCGTGTTGCTATATAAGGGGGGAGATGCGTGCGAGACTCGGGGCTGTCGGGGTGTGGATCTCCGCCCGATGTCAAGTGAACGTGTCTTCGGTGAAGTGCCATCTCAGGAGAAGTGTCTCAAGTCGTCATTACACAGAGATTAGTAAGCTGCTGGAGCTGTGCATTTTAAAATCATCGAAATTGAAAAAAATAATATTTATAACTCGCTTGTTGTTATTGTTGTTGTTTAGTTTGTTGTGACTGCACCCCACCCCGCACCTCCGATTAGCGCGGTTGGACTACGTAGGGTGCGCGAAAGATGGTTCAACATGAATCTTTTCATATCTCCTGCTCTTGCGACCTGTAATGTGTGCGTTGTTTGCCAGGGAACCGATGATTTGGTTGATGAAATCCGATTCAAGAGTTTGCAGGGGACTTCAAAATAAAATGAACTCTCTCATCGGTCTCTCTCACCTCTCTCTCTCATTTCTCTCTCATCTCTCTCATCTCTCTCATCTCTCTCTCTCATCTCTCTCATCTCTCTCTCATCTCTCTCTCATCTCTCTCTCATCTCTCTCATCTCTCTCTCATCTCTCTCTCATCTCTCTCATCTCTCTCTCTCTCATCTCTCTCATCTCTCTCAGCTCTCTCTCATCTCTCTCTCTCATTTCTCTCTCTTATTTCTCTCTCATCTCTCTCTCATCTCTCTCTTTCTATCATCTCTCTCTTTCTCTCATCTCTCTCTCATCTCTCTCTCATCTCTCTCATCTCTCTCATCTCTCTCATCTCTCTCATCTCTCTCATCTCTCCCTCATCTTTCTTTCATCTCTCTCTCATCTCTCTCTCATCTCTCTCATCTCTCTCTCATCTCTCTCATCTCTCTCATCTCTTTCTCATCTCTCTTTCATCTCTCTCTCATCTCTCTCTCATCTCTCTCTCATCTCTCTCATCTCTCTCTCTCATCTCTCTCATCTCTCTCTCATCTCTCTCATCTCTTTCTCATCTTTTTCATCTCTCTCTCATCTCTCTCTCATCTCTCTCTCATCTCTCTCTCCCTCGTCTTCTCCCATCTTCGTGACGGGCAGTCGCCAACGCCACCCCCCCCCGCCCCCCCCCCCGCCCACCCGCCCCCCCCCCCCCCGCCCCCCCCCGCCCCCCCCCCGCCCCCCCGCCCCTCACCCTTCACGTCCACGAAGGCCACGGCGCTCGTCTCCCCGTGCACGTTGGCGGCCACGCACGTGTACGGCCCCGCATCCTCCGGCTGCGCAAGGGGGGATAGACGCGGCAGGAGGGAGAGGGGGTTAGAGGGGCTTGGAGGGGGTTAGAAGGGGGTTAGAGGGGCTTGGAGGGGGTTAAAGGGGCTTGGAGGGGGTTAGAGGGGGTTAGAGGGGCTTGGAGGGGGTTAGAAGGGGGTTAGAGGGGCTTGGAGGGGGTTAAAGGGGGTTAGAGGGGCTTGGAGGGGCTTGGAGGGGGTTAGAGGGGGTTAGAGGGTCTTGGAGGGGGTTAGAGGGGGTTAGAGGGTCTTGGAGGGGGTTAGAGGGGGTTAGAGGGGGTTAGAGGGGGTTAGAGGGGCTTGGAGGGGGTTAGAGGGGGTTAGAGGGGGTTAGAGGGGGTTAGAGGGGCTTGGAGGGGGTTAGAGGGGCTTGGAGGGGGTTAGAGGGGGTTAGAGGGGGTTAGAGGGTCTTGGAGGGGCTTGGAGGGGGTTAGAGGGGCTTGGAGGGGGTTAGAGGGGGTTAGAGGGGGTTAGAGGTGCTTGGAGGGGGTTAGAGGGGCTTGGAGGGGGTTAGAGGGGGTTAGAGGGGCTTGGAGGGGCTTGGAGGGGGTTAGAGGGGGTTATAGGGGGTTAGAGGGGGTTAGAGGGGGTAGGGGCTAGCGGGTAGAGACACGAGGAAGAGGGTGCAAGGATGGTGGGCAGCAGTGCCAGATTATTATCGTCGTAGCAAAAGGAGCTACATATGTAGTAGCTGTAGTAGCTACTACATATGTTGTAGTAGCTACTACATATGTAGTAGCTACTACTACATATGTAGTAGCTACTACATATGTAGTAGTAGCTACTACATATGCACACTTTCAAGGGCCTCCACGCTAAACGCTTTCAAGCTATCAATTCCGGTTTCAGTGATTCTGCACTTGCTCTATTACTATAGTACTATACTGCCCTTCAACTTTTACAAACGACCGGGTGTTTAAGGTTAGCGATTTGTTCGTATTGTCCGGCTGTATTGCAAATGAAAAAAAAATACAATTATATACGATGCAAGTAAAAAAATGTGTGTTTTAATATTTACGTGTGTTTTTTATTTAGTGCCCCTTCATAACATATACTACAGGCACCGTACTAGCTTCATCTGGCACTGGTGGGTAGGGAGTTATTGTCATCATCATCATCCTCATCGTGCCAGTTCGAACTATTTCAGCTCCATTTGATTCTCGATTATCCGGCCACCGTGCGATTATCCGGCCGCATCAAAAATTACCCGGATCGGTCGCCAGGACCGAGCCCGTGATATCGGCGATACCGGCACAAGCCGCCCCAAAGGCTGTAAACCCAGTCCCGGCTATCGGCGTCGCTACGCTTGATTTCGGTCTAAAATATTGAATACGGTACATTAGTGCGCATGCATAATGTACGTTGATTCATTTGTCCACACCCCACCCCTAACGCCACTTCGCGCGCATGGAGAGTGCGCGAAGTGTTGTCATCACATCTACGCCTCTTTTTAAGGTATCGAAACACGTGGGCTTGTCCACAATTCTGGCTGTCACCTGATGAAGCTGGTTGCAAATTACCGGTGAAACTTCATAACCCCGATTGTAAATGTCGTGGCTTGGCTCTCCAACACACCGGTTAGTGCTGTAGTGGTAACGAATTGGCCACGTTCCTGTTCAAGTGAGACATCCTTACTGATTGGCTGTGTCGGGTGGTGGCGGGTTTAACGACACATTTACTCATTTCCGCGATATAACCCAACAAGAACCTGCATTTTGGATGATATTGGTCGCGACGAACCCACGACATTCAGAATCTGAGTACGACGTTTCGCCTGTAATTACAACCAGCATCATCAGGTGGCAGCCACATTGATGCCGCCTGATGGTGCCGGTTGTAACTACTGGCGAAACGTCATACTCAGATTGAAAATGTCGTGGATTTTCTCTCCAACGCACAACCGGTGTGCCGTACTAGCAACGAATTGGCATGTTCATTTTAATTGGCCCTGTGAGGGGTGGTGGCGGGTTTAATGATACATTTACATATTTAAGCGATCTAACCCAAAAAAAAAAATAACGTCAAGTGACTCGTTATGACGTCGCCACCGGCTCACGTGACTCGTTATAACGTCACCGCGGGGACCACGTGACTCATGCCATGTGAGACCCGTGATGACGTCACCGTGGGGATCACGTGACCCGTTACAACGTCGCCACCGGCGATCAGGTGACTCGCCTTGACGTCGCTCAATTGCACCACGCCCTCGTCGGGCTCCGTGACCCGCGGGTCGAGGGTGAAAGTTCGCGAGCCGCCCCTCAGCCAATGGACGGCGGGCGGCGGGGCCCCGACCGCCCGGCAGACCAATCGCACGCTGCCGCCCACCAGCGCCGTGTGGTTGCTGGGCGACTGGAGGATGAGTGGCAGGGGGCGTTCGCTTAGGCCTTGGGGGGGTGGGGCATTGGGGTTGTTGAAAGGGGGGGGGGGGCGTGTGGGGGTGGGGGGCATGAGGGTGTAGGGGGGTTAGGGGGCATGATGGTGTTGGAGGGGGGTGTGGAGGGTGGGGGCCATGGGGGGGGGTTGGGGGGATGTGGGGGTGGGGCGCAGGGGGGGAACGTTTGTCAGCATCATCAGCGGCATCATCATCAGCATCAGCGGCATCATCATCATCATCAGCGGCATCATCATCAGCAGCATCATCATCAGCATCAGCAGCATCAGTGGCATCATCATCAGCATCAGCGGCATCATTGACATCAGCAGCATCATCATCATCAGCATCAGCGGCATCATCGGCATCAGCGGCATCATCATCGCCTCTGACATTAGAACTGCTTTGTCGTGTGCGTTGAGAGTTGTAGTCCCTTCCTCTGCACCTCCGATTAGCGCGCTGGGCCACGCATGGCGCGAAAGAAGTCCAACGTATGGGTGCATCAGCGTACCCAATACGAGATGTCCCTTCGCCACGGATGTGAGACCCCCTGGTTCCGTCCCAGCTTCTCCTGCTCCGACTACCGTGGGTGAAGCCCTCCCCGCCCAGGTCTCCCTTTTCTCCACCCACCCACCAACCCCCAACCCCCCACCCCCCCCCAACCCCCACCACCCCCCCACCCCACCCCCCCCCCCGTACCATCGGCCACCTCCAGGACGGCCTTGGCCAGGACGCTCCCGGCCACGCTGAGCGCCTGGCAGCTGTAGGAGGCGGCGTCCGTGAGCCGCACGTCCACGATGGACAACTCCCCGCTCTGCGACACCGAGTAGCGGCTGCCCGGCTGGGGGGGCTGGTTCGGGAACAGCAGCGTCTGGAGTGGGGGGCACGTGGCGGGGGGGGGGGCAGTGGTGGGGGGCACGGAGACACCCCAGGGTCAGGGTCTTGAACGGAGCGTCTCAGCATAGCGGAGGGGGCGTCTGCGTGTCTCTCTGTGTCTGTCTGTGCCAGGCTGGGTTCACCATGGCCGTGTCACAGGCGCAGAGATGACGGTGCTGAGATCTGTGGTCACGTGACGTGAGTCTGGGTGTGTGTCTGTCTGTGCCAGGCTGGGTTCACCATGGCCGTGTCACAGACGCGGAGATGACGGTGCTGAGATCTGTGGTCACGTGATGTGAGTCTGGGTGTCTGTCTGTGCCAGGCTGGGTTCACGATGGCCGTGTCACAGGCACGGAGGTTGATGGTGCTGAGATTTGTGGTCACGTGACGTGAGTCTGGGTGTGTGTCTGTCTGTGCCAGGCTGGGTTCACGATGGCCGTGTCACAGACACAGAGGATGATGGTGCTGAGATCTGTGGTCACGAGATGTGAGTCTGGGTGTCTGTCTGTCTGTGCCAGGCTGGGTTCACCATGGCCTTGTCACAGACGCGGAGGTTGACGGTGCTGAGATTTGTGGTCACAGGACGGGAGTCTGGGTGTGTGTCTGTCTGTACCAGGCTGGGTTCACGATAGTCACGTGGTATGCACCGGGGTGGGAGGGAGGGGGGTGAGGGGTGGAGGGTGGTGCCGACCTGCCCGCCGTCGCGTCTCCAGAAGACAGCGGGCGGAGGGTTCCCAGTGGTCTCGCAGCGGAAGGAGACGCTGTGACCCACCACGGCCACCTGGTCCCTGGGTCGGACCACGAAGCGCGGGGGAGCTGCCGGTGGTGGTGGTTGGGGGGGGGGGGTACCAATGAGATTGGAGACAATGAGATGGGAGACAATGAGATGGGAGACAATGAGATGAGAGACAATGAGATGGGAGACAGCGAGGCAGGGAGACAATGAGATGGGAGACAATGAGATGGGAGCCAATGAGATGGGAGACAATGAGATGGGAGACAATGAGATGGGAGACAATGAGATGGGAGACAATGACATGGGAGACAATGAGATGGGAGACAGGGAGATGGGAGACAATGAGATGGGAGACAATGAGATGGGAGACAATGAGATGGGAGACAATGAGATTGGAGACAATGAGATGGGAGACAATGAGATGGGAGACAATGAGATGGGAGACAGCGAGGCAGGGAGACAATGAGATGGGAGACAATGAGATGGGAGACAGGGAGATGGGAGACAATGAGATGGGAGAGAATGAGATGGGAGACAATGAGATGGGAGACAATGAGATGGGAGACAATGAGATGGGAGACAATGAGATGGGAGACAGGGAGCCAGGGAGACAATGAGATGGGAGACAATGAGATGGGAGACAATGAGATGGGAGACAATGATATGGGAGACAATGAGATGGGAGACAATGAGATGGGAGACAATGAGATAGGAGACAATGAGATGGGAGACAATGAGATGGGAGACAATGAGATGGGAGACAATGAGATGGGAGACAATGAGATAGGAGACAGGGAGCCAGGGAGACAATGAGATGGGAGACAATGAGATGGGAGACAATGAGATGGGAGACAGGGAGCCAGGGAGACAATAAGATGGGAGCCAGGGAGCCAGGAAGACAATGAGATGGGAGACAATGAGATGGGAGACAATGAGATGGGACACAATGAGATGGGAGACAATGAGATGGGAGACAATGAGATGGGAGACAATGAGATGGGAGACAATGAGATTGGAGACAATGAGATGGGAGACAATGAGATGGGAGACAATGAGATAGGAGACAATGAGATGGGAGACAATGAGATGGGAGACAATGAGATGGGAGACAGGGAGCCAGGGAGACAATAAGATGGGAGCCAGGGAGTCAGGAAGACAATGAGATGGGAGACAATGAGATTGGAGACAATGAGATGGGAGACAATGATATGGGAGAAAATGAGATGGGAGACAATGAGATGGGAGACAATGAGATGGGAGACAATGAGATGGGAGACAATGAGATGGGAGACAATGAGATGGGAGTCAATGAGATGGGAGACAATGAGATGGGAGACAATGAGATGGGAGACAATGAGATGGGAGACAATGAGATAGGAGACAATGAGATGGGAGACAGGGAGACAATGAGATGGGAGATAATGAGATGGGAGACAATGAGATGGGAGACAATGAGATGGGAGACAATGAGATGGGAGACAATGAGATAGGAGACCGGGAGCCATGGAGACAATGAGATGGGAGACAATGAGATGGGAGACAGGGAGCCAGGGAGACAATGAGATGGGAGACAATGAGATGGGAGACAATGAGATGGGAGACAGGGAGCCAGGGAGACAATAAGATGGGAGACAATGAGATGGGAGACAATGAGATGGGAGACAATGAGATGGGAGACAATGAGATGGGAGACAATGAGATGGGAGACAATGACATGGGAGACAATGAGATTGGAGACAATGAGATGGGAGACAATGAGATGGGAGACAATGAGATAGGAGACAATGAGATTGGAGACAATGAGATGGGAGACAATGAGATGGGAGACAATGAGATGGGAGACAGGGAGCCAGGGAGACAATAAGATGGGAGCCAGGGAGCCAGGAAGACAATGAGATGGGAGACAATGAGATTGGAGACAATGAGATGGGAGACCATGATATGGGAGACAATGAGATGGGAGACAATGAGATGGGAGACAATGAGATGGGAGACAATGAGATAGGAGACAATGAGATGGGAGCCAGGGAGCCAGGAAGACAATGAGATGGGAGACAATGAGATTGGAGACAATGAGATGGGAGACAATGATATGGGAGACAATGAGATGGGAGACAATGAGATGGGAGACAATGAGATGGGAGACAATGAGATGGGAGACAATGAGATGGGAGACAATGAGATGGGAGACAATGAGATGGGAGACAATGAGATGCGAGACAATGAGATGGGAGACAGAGAGGCAGGGAGACAATGAGATGGGAGACAATGAGATGGGAGACAATAAGATGGGAGACAATGAGATGGGAGACAATGAGATGGGAGACAATGAGATGGGAGACAATGAGATGGGAGACAGAGGCCATCACGTTACATGGTGTGCATACACGTGCTGAGTGTACACGTGCTGAGTGTACACGTGCTGAGTGTCCGCGTGGTGAGTGTCCACGTGGCGAGTGTACACGTGGCGAGTGTATACGTGGTGTGTGAGTGGTGAGTGTGTACACGTGCTGAGTGACCACGTGGTGAGTGAGTGACCACGTGGTGTGTGAGTGCTGAGTGAGTGACCACGTGGTGTGTGAGTGACCACGTGGTGTGTGAGTGACCACGTGGTGTGTGAGTGACCACGTGGTGAGTGAGTGACCACGTGGTGAGTGAGTGACCACGTGGTGAGCAGCGTCACCGTGCACGGTGAGCGTGGCTGAGGCCTCTGCCCGCCCCACGATGTTCTCCGCGATGCAGGAGTACGCCCCCTCGTCGCCACTCGCGATCCGCCGCAGCCGCAGAGTGTGCTCCTCCACGATCTCGTGCCTGCGCAAACGCAATCGCCGCAATCCGCACAATCACCGCATTCACCGCAATCACAGCAACCGCACAATCACCGCAATCACCGCAACGGCACAACAACACGTCTATGGGAGGGTGGGGAGGTCTAGGTGTGTGTGGACGGTGTGTGTGTGTGTGTGGATGGTGTGTGTGTGTGTGTGGACGGTGTGTGTGTGTGTGGTGTGTGTGTGTGGACGGTGTGTGGTGTGTGTGTGTGGACGGTGTGTGTGTGTGGCATCTGTGTCCACCACAGGGGCTAATGGGGAGCGGTGGTGTAGCGGTTAGCGCGCTGCGTTATGAACCTGGCGACCCGGGTTCGATTCCCGCTCACGGCCAACACCAGTGACGATTATCTGAACCGGTCCCGGGCCTCCCCTAGGTCGACTCAGCCTCAAATGAGTACCTGGTGCGGTGTGTAAATATCGCCACTAGGGAGACAAAGGCGGTCGGGCGTGGTGCTGGCCACCCACCCCCTCGTGTGTGGTGCCGGGCTTCATTTGTGCAGCATCGCTACCAGCACTTGCCCCGAACGTCTGTTGAGGCTATACGGGGGATCTTTGTCTTTGTGGTGCTGGCCACCCACCCCCTCGTGTGCCGTTCTGGCCTTCATAGGTGCTCGCTAACAGCACTTGCCCCTACAGTCTGTTAAGGCTATATGGGGGATCTTTTTTGTGGATATTGTGTGTGTGTTTGGACGGTGTGTGTGTGTGTGTGTAAAAGTGTGTGTAAGTGTGTGTCCGCCAAAACAACCCCCTACCTCCTCGCGGTGCCGGACGGGCAACTCTGTCGTGGACAGTGCTGTGGGGGGAGGTACAATTTCGATTGGCTCCTCCCCTCATGGCGTCTGTGTCCACCACAGGGGCTAAACGGGGGCTCTGGACGGTTGCGAGGGGCTGGTAACCCCTCCACCTTCAATTAATTAACACTAAACCGCTAATTAAGTATATAACTAATAAACTTGTGCCGGAAGCCCCGGGGGGCCAGGCGTCTATGACGTCTCCTGGCCAAACCCCAATTGGCGGAGCCAGGAGATTGAATATCTACCCTCGGGGCTCCTCCAGAAACAACGAAAAACCGCTACGGGTGGCCACGTGGAATGTTCGAACGCTCACTACGGAGGAGTGGCTGCCACTCCTCTGTTGGGAACTGGACCGGTACCGCCTGGATCTATGTGGCATTCAGGAGGTCCGGTGGACCGGTTCTGGCTCCTGCCACCAGGCTACTTTGGGCTCACCTTCCCATCAACCGGAGGCGAGGAATGGTGGTCGTGGTTACTTATGCCCCCACCGAAGATGAACATCCGTGGAGGGATGCAGGCAAAGCCGATGAATCAGATGCCTTTTATGACCTCCTGTCACAGGTGCTGGCTAAAGTGGCCCCTCGGAATAGAGTCATCATGTTGGGTGACTTCAATGCCCTAGTTGGTCATGATGCTGGCACCTGGTCTGGAGTAATTGGAGGGCATGGGCCAGATCAGCTCAATAACAATGGTAGGAGGCTGCTAGATTTTCGTGCAGCCCATGGGCTTGTAATTACCAACACGCTGTTCCGGCATCGGCGCATCCACACAACATCATGGATGCATGCCGGGTCCAAGCAAGAACATTTGCTGGACTACATAGTGACGGACCAGCGGATGCGAGCCCATGTCCTTGACACCAGCACCTACCGTGGAGCTGATCTGCCCTCTGACCATCGACTAGTCATCTGTAAGATGCGCCTGCCATTATTCCACTCCGGTGGTGGGTGTACACCCAGGACCCCATTCCAACCTAAAGTGGCCTGGTCTCAGTTATCTGATGAAAGTTGCAAGCGAGAATTTCATCATCGCTTGCAGCTGGGATTGGCATCGTCCCCGACTCCTCCTGATGTCGAGGGTAAATGGGCGAGGTTTAGGACTGTGACTCATGCAGCTGCAATGGCTGCTTTGGGTACGCGGTCCAGACCTCCCCAGAGACCCTGGCTGACAGAGGACGTGTTCAGGATGGTTGAGAAAAAGCGACAGGCCCACTGTCATCGGCTACAGAATCCCACGTCAGAGAATGAGGAAGCTTACCGAAGCCTTCGCTTGGAGGTTTGGAGAGCCGTGAGGCGCTGCAAGGATGGGTGGTGGTCGCGGGTTGCTGAGGAGATGGAATCTGCCTCAGTGGCCCGTGATCACAAATCTCTATTTAACTCCATCAAAAAAGTAACCTGCAGTGCCACACCTATTACCATCATTAGGTGAAAAAACGGTGATCCAATCTCCGACCTCCAGGAACAGGTTTGCAGATTTGCTGAGCATTACTGTGAGGTCCTGGGGGAGGAAAAATCCCTCAGCCAGGAAAACATCGTGGCACAAAGTGAGGATGACCCTGCTGAGGCTGCGGTGCCTCAAATATTGGAAGAAGTCACCCCCTGTGAGTGGCTGGCTGAGGTGCCATCTGTTGAGGGAGTACTGAAGGCAATCCGGAGTCTGAGACCAGGAAAGGCAGCGGGCAGAGATGATCTCCCAAGCGAAATGCTGAGGGAGGGTGGCGTTTGTGCACAGACTGCCCTATATGACATCATAACAACAGTCTGGACCACTGGATGGGTTCCGCAGGATTGGAAGGATGCCCTGGTGGTCCCCCTTTTTAAGAAGGGGGACCGCACAGACTGTAACAACTACAGGGGCATCTCACTCCTCAGTGTGCGGGGAAAGGTCCTGGCAAGGATTATTCAACATCGCCTTGCCAGGCACGCTGAGGAGAGGCTTGCGGAGCCCCAATGCGGTTTCAGGAAAGGGCGGTCCTGCACAGGTGCCATATTTTCTGTCCGTCTGCTAAAGCAGAGGTGTAGAGAATTCCAACAAGACCTACATCTCTGCTTTATTGACCTGGTCAAGGCCTATGATACCATCAGTAGGCCTGGGCTCTGGGTTGTTCTTCGTGCTTTTGGAGTACCTAACCCTCTGCTCACGATCATGAAGGCCTTCATGATGGTGAGCGGGCCAGGGTAAAACTACGTGGCCGGGAGTCAGAGCCATTCCCTGTTCACCTTGGGGTGCGACAGGGATGTCCTCTGGCTCCCACATTATTTAACATATATTTTGACCACGTAGTTCGTGAAGCCTTCAATAGCTGTACCGGGGGAATCTCCATATCGTACAGATATAATGGGAGGCTGATCGATGCCCGGGTGCGGTCAAGGGAAGGCTCCCTATTGCTCAACCAGGTTAAGTATGCTGATGATTTGGTAATAGCTGCTCATTCAGAGGAGGAGTTGGAGACGCTGTTGCTGAGACTGGAGCGTGCAACTAAGAGGTGGGGCCTTACCATCAGCCCCACCAAAACTAAGCACCTGCCTGGGTATTTTGTACCATCAGACACTCCACCCCCACAACTCCCAATCGGTGATGGGGCATTTGTGGAGCGAGAGGAGATTTTCCCATACCTGGGCAGTGTGCTTATGACCGGCTCCAGTTTAACAGCATAGGTCTCACTCCGAATCAGTCGAGCGGCAATATCTTTTCATCGGTTGTGTTACACTGTGTGGAAGCTACCTGGTCTGTCGCTCCGCACTAAGCTTCAGGTCTTCTCGGCCACGGTCATTCCCACCCTTCTCTACGCTTGCGAAACGTGGACCCCCCTATAGGAACATCTTCGCCGGTTAGAAACATTTAGGCTGGCCTGCCTACGATCCATCCTGGGTATAACCAGAATGGATTGTGTGAGGAGCTCACAAATCCTTGAAAGATCTGGGCAAGGTCCCATCGGTGAGCTCCTCCGGCAGGCAAGGCTGCGTTGGCTGGGTCATGTAGCCCGCATGCCCAGCCACCTCATGCCTAAACAGTTTTTGTTCGGCCGGATCGAGGAAGTTAAACGGGCGCGGCACGGGCGAGAGAAGAGATGGAGTGATGTGGTACAGGAGGATGTGGAGCTGAGTTGACTTGCCAATGACCGGTACCAGCGGTGTCAAGATCGGCCTCAGTGGAGGAGGCTCGTGAAGGACGCTGCTACTGGGCAGTTGGAGGCAGTCGCCCTCCAACAACAACGGAGGGCGGAGGAGCGACGCTCACAACAATGAGCGGAGCGCCGGGTGGCTAAAGCACAGCAGGTTGGCACACTAGGGGGCACAGGTGGTGCATCAGCCAGTCATCTCGGTCATCCCAGTCAGTGGACCCGTGGCACCTGGGTCTGCCCCGTGACCTCCTGCCAGCGGGCGTGCGACACTTCCACGTGGCCTCAAGGTGCACATAGCCTGGCACAAGCGTCGTGGTGACGTCACCGCCACTTAGTGGCGAATCGCGGCCGTTGTATTGTGGGGAGCGGTGGCGCAGCGGTTAACGCTACGCTGCGCTACGAACCCGGCGACCCGACTTCGATTCCCACTCACGGCCAACACCATCAGTGACGATTTTCCAAACCGGTCCTGGGCCTCCCTTAGCTCTTCTCAGCCTCAAATGAGCAAGCCTGGTGTAGCGGTGCGTAGCAAAAAAAGTCGCCGCCGGGGAGACGAAGGCTCGCCGGGCGTGGCTGTGGCCACCCACCCCCTCTCGTGTGCCGTTCCGGCCTTCCCAGGCGCTGCTCGCTAACAGCGCTCGCCCCTGCCGTCTGTCACAGGCTACGCGGGGGATCTTCGTCTGTATGGTGCTCAACGCTCAACGCGCACCTGCCCCTGGGCAGCTCGGCGTCGTCCTTCCGCCAGCGCACGGTCGGCAGGGGGTCGCCTCGCGCCTCGCACGCAAACTCGGCGCTCTCGTCCAGCAGCCGCACCAGTGGCACGGGTCGGCGGGTGAACGAGGGACGCTCTGGGGGAGGGTGGAGGGTGGAGGGGCGCGGGGAGGAGCGGGCACACAAAGACAAAAGATCCACCCGAGCAGGATCAGTAGACTGGTTGGGGCAAGTGCCGTGAGCGAGATGGCAGTGGCTGTATACGAAGGCCGGCATTGAGGGTTCGGCAGTCGCTCGCTCGCTCGCTCGCTGGCTCGCTCGCTCGCTCACCGACTCACTGACCCACTCACTCACTCACTCACCCACTCACTCACTCACTCACCCACCCACTCACCGACCAACTCACCCACCCACTCACTCACTCACTCACCCACTTACTCACCCACTCACTCACCCACTCATCCACTCACTCCCCACTCACTCACCCACTCACTCACCCACTCACTCACCCACCCACTCACCGACCAACTCACCCACCCACTCACTCACTCACCCACTTACTCACCCACTCACTCACCCACTCATCCACTCACTCCCCACTCACTCACCCACTCACTCACCCACTCACTCACCCACTCACTCACTCACTCACGCACTCACACACTCACTCTCTCATTCACCGACTCACTCACTCACCCACCCACTCACCGACCCACTCACGCACTCACTCACTCACTTACTCACCCACTCACTCACCCACTCACCCACTCACTCCCCACTCACTCACCCACTCACTCACCCACTCACTCACCCACTCACCCACTCACTCACTCACGCACTCACACACTCACTCACCCACTCACCGACCCACTCGCCCACTAACTCACCCACTCACTCACTCACTCACCCACCCACTCACCGAGCCACTCACCCACTCACCCACTTACTCACCCACTCAGTCCTCACTCACTCACCCACTCACTCGCTCACCCACTCACCCAGCCACTCACTCACCGACCCACTCAAACACTCACTCACACACTCACTCACCCAATTACTCACCCACTCAGTCCTCACTCGTTCACTCACCCACTCACTCGCTCACCCACTCACCCAGCCACTTACTCACTCACCCACTCACTCACCCACTCACTCACCCACTCACCCAGCCACTCACTCACTCACTCACCGACCCACTCACCCACTCACTTACTCACTCACCCACTCACCGACCCACTCACCCACTCACTCACTCACCCACTTACTCACCCACTCACACACCCACTCACCCACTCACTCACCCACTCACTCACCCACTCACTCACCCACTCACCCACTCACTCACTCACACACGCACTCACACACTCACTCACCCACTCACCGACCCCACTCGCTCACTAACTCACCCACTCACTCACTCACTCACCCACCCACTCACCGAGCCACTCACCCACTCACCCACTTACTCACCCACTCAGTCCTCACTCACTCACCCACTCACTCGCTCACCCACTCACCCAGCCACTCACTCACCGACCCTCTTACCCACTCACTCACTCACTCACCCAATTACTCACCCACTCAGTCCTCACTCACTCACCCACTCACTCGCTCACCCACTCACCCCGCCACTTACTCACTCACCCACTCACTCACCCACTCACCCAGCCACTCACTCACTCACCGACCCACTCACCCACTCACTCACTCACCCACTTACTCACCCACTCAGTCCTCACTCACTCACCCACTCACTCGCACACCCACTCACCCAGCCACTCACCCAGCCAATCAGTCACTCACTCACCCACTCACTTACCCACTCACTCACCACCCACTCACTCACCCACCCACCCACTCACTCACCCAGTCACTCACTAACCCACCCACTCACTCACTCACTCACCCACTCACGCACTCACTCACCCACTCACTCCCCACTCACTCACCCAATCACTCCCCATTCACTCACCCACTCACTCACCCACTCACTCACGACCCACTCACTCACTCACCCACTCACCCACTCACTGACTCACCACTCACTCACTCACCCACTCACTCCCCACTCACTCACCCACTCACTCACCCACTCACTCACCCAACCACTCATTAACCCACTCACCCATTCACCCACCCACTCACCCTCTCACTCACTCACCCACTCACCCACTCACTCACTCACTCACGCACTCACCAAGCCACTCACTCACCGACCCACTCACCCACTCACTCAGTCACTAACTCACCAACTTACTCACCCACTCAGTTCTCACTCACCCACTCACTCACCCACCCACTCACTCACCCACTCACTCACTAACCTACCCACTCACTCACCCACTCACTCACTCACCCACTCACTCCTCACTCACGCACCCACTCACTCCCCACTCACCCACCCACTCACCCACTCACTCACCCAACCACTCATTAACCCACTCACCCACTCACCCATTCACCCACCCACTCACCCTCTCACTCACTCACCCACTCACCCACTCACTCACTCACTCACGCACTCACCAAGCCACTCACTCACCGACCCACTCACCCACTCACTCAGTCACTAACTCACCAACTTACTCACCCACTCAGTTCTCACTCACCCACTCACTCACCCACCCACTCACTCACCCACTCACTCACTAACCTACCCACTCACTCACCCACTCACTCACTCACCCACTCACTCCTCACTCACGCACCCACTCACTCCCCACTCACCCACCCACTCACTCACCCACTCACTCACCCAACCACTCACTAACCCACTCACCCACTCATCCAGCCACTCTCCCACTCACCCAGCCACTCACTCACTCACTCACCCACTCACTCACCACCCATTCACTCACCCACTTACTCACCCACTCAGTTATCACTCACCCACTCACTCCCCACTCACTCACCCACTCACTCACCCACTCACTAACCCACCCACTCACTCACTCACTCACCCACTCACTCACTCACTCACCCACTCTCTCCCCACTCACTCACCCACTCACTCATCCACTCACTCCCCACTCACTCACCCACTCACTCACCCACTCACCCAACCACTCACTAACTCACTCACCCACTCACTCACCCACTCACCCACTCACTCACCCACTCACTCACCCACTCACCCACTCACTCACCCACCCACTTTCTAACACTCGCCTGCCCACCTACTCGAAAGACTGTTGGAGCAGCACCTATGAAGGCCTGCACGGCACACGAGGGGGTGGGTGGCCAGAACCACGCCTGGCCTCCTTTGTCTCACACACCCACCCACACACCCACACACCCACAAACCCCCACCCACACACACACAACAACCGCCATTCGCCAGGCCATGTGCACCTTGAGGCCACGTGAAGTGTCGAACGCCCGCTGGCAGGAGGTCACGGGGCAGACCCAAGTGCCACGGGTCGACTGACTAAGATGACTGAGATGACTGGCTGATGCACCACCTGTGACCCCTACTGTGCCAACCTGCTGTGCTTTAGCCACCCGGCGCTCCGCTCGTTGTTGTGAGCGTCGCTCCTCCGCCCTCCGTTGTTGTTGGAGGGCGACTGCCTCCAACTGCTCAGTAGCGTCCTTCACGAGCCTCCTCCACAGAGGCCGATCTTGACACCGGTGGTACCGGTCATCGGCAAGTCCACTCAGCTCCACGTCCTCCTGTACCACATCACTCCATCTCTTCTCTAGCCCGTGCCGCGCCCGTTTTTCCCCCTCGATCCGGCCGAACAAAAGCTGTTTCGGCATGCGGTGGCTGGGCATGCGGTCTACATGACCCAGCCAACGCAGCCATGCCTGCTGGAGGAGCTCACCGATGGGACCGTGCCCAGATCTTTAAAGGATTTGTGAGCTCCTCACACAATCCAGCCTGGTTAAACCCAGGATGGATCGTAGGCAGGCCAGCCTAAATGTTTCTAACCGGCGAAGATGTTCCATTAGGGGGGTCCACGTTTCGCAAGCGTAGAGAAGGGAGGGAATGACCATGGTCGAGAAGACCTGAAGCTTAATGCGGAGCGACAGACCATGTAGCATCCACACAGCGTTACGCAACCGATGAAAATATATTGCCGCTCGACTGATTAGGAGTGAGACCTCTGCTGTTAAACTGGAGCCGGTCATAAGCACACTGCCCAGGTATGGGAAACTTTCCACTCTCTCCACAACTGCCCCATCACCGATTGGGAGTTGTGGGGGTGGAGTGTCCGATGGTACAAAATACCCAGGCAGGTGCTTAGTTTTGGTGGGGCTGATGGTAAGGCACCATCTCTTAGTAGCACGCTAAAGTCTCAGCAGCAGCGTCTCCAACTCCTCCTCTGAATGAGCAGCTATTACCAAATCATCGGCATACATAACGTGGTTGAGCAATAGGGAGCCATCCCTTGACCGCACCTGGGCATCGATCAGCCTCCCATTATATCTGTACCATATGGAGATTCCCCCGGTACAGCTATTGAAGGCTTCACGAACTACGTGGTCAAAATAGATGTTAAATAATGTGGGAGCTAGAGGACATCCCTGTCGCAGCCCAAGGAGTACAGGGAATGGCTCTGACTCCGGCCACGTAGTTTTACGCGGGCCCGCTCACCATCATGAAGGTCCTTAATGATCGTGAGCAGAGGGTCAGGTACTCCAAAAGCACGAAGAACAACACACACCTCCACACACACACTCACCCACACACACAACAACAACCGCCATTCGCCACTAAGTGGCGGTGACGTCACCACGACGCTTGTGCCAGGCTATGTGCACCCTGAGGCCACGTGAAGTGTCGAACGCCCGCTGGCAGGAGGTCACGGGGCAGACCCAGGTGCCACGGGTCGACTGACTGAGATGACTGGCTGATGCACCACCTGTGCCCCCTACCTCCTCGCGGTGCCGGACGGGCAACTCTGTCGTGGACAGTGCTGTGGGGGGAGGGCCAATTCCGATTGGCCACCACAGTGGCTAAACGGGGGCTCTGGACGGGTGCGAGGGGCTGGTAACCCCTCGACCTTCAATGAATTACCACTAAACCACGAGTTAAACACACACCCACACACACCCACACACACACCAACACACACACCCACACACACACACCCACACACACACACCCCACACACACCCCACACACACCCACACACATCCCACACACACCCCACACACACCCACACACACACACCCCACACACACACACCCCACACACACACACCCCACACACACACACCCCACACACACACAGATCCCCCATATAGCCTTAACAGACTGTAGGGGCAAGTGCTGTTAGCGAGCACCTATGAAGGCCGGAACGGTACACGAGGGGGTGGGTGGCCAACACCACGCCCGACCGCCTTTGTCTCCCTAGTGGCGATGTTTACACACCGCGCCAGGTACTCATTTGAGGCTGAGTCGACCTAGGGGAGTCCCGGGACCGGTTCAGATAATCGTCACTGGTGTTGGCCGTGAGCGGGAATCGAACCCGGGTCGCCAGGTTCATAGCGCAGCGCGCTAACCGCTAGACCACCGCTCCCCTGAACACACGCTCTCAACACACACACACACACACCGACACACACCCACATACACACACCAACACACACCCACACACACACCCACACACACACCCACACACTCACACAAACACCCACACACACCCACACACACACAGACACACCCACACACACACCAACACACACACACAACACCCACACACACCCACACACACACACCCACACACACACACACACACCAACAAACACACACCCACACACACACCTACACACCCACACACACCAACACACACACAACACCCACACACACACCAACACACACACACACCAACACACACACACCCATACTCACACCTACACACCCACACACACCAACACACACACAACACCCACACACACCCCCACACACACACACACACCCACACCTACACCCACACCTACACCCACACACCCAAACACACACACACAACAACACACACACACACCCACACACACACCATCACGCTCTCTCTCACCGAGGACGGAGAGTTCGGCCACCTCGCTCTCCATCTCGCCCACCATGTTGGTACCCACACAGACACACACCTACACACACACACCACACACACACCTACACACACCCACACACACACACACACCCACACACCTACACACACACACACACCCTCACCGAGGACGGAGAGTTCGGCCACCTCGCTCTCCCTCTCGCCCACCATGTTGGTACCAACACAGACGTACTTTCCCGCATCGCTCTTCCGCGCGCTCGAGATCATCAGCTTGCCGCCGCGCGTCTGCAGGGATCATCAACATCGTGGTCATCATCATCATCGTCATCGTCGTCGTTATCATCGTCGTCGTCATCATCATGATCATCGTCATTATCGTCGTCATCATCATAATCATCGTCATCGTCGTCATCATCGTCGTCATCATTATAATCGTCGTCATCGTCGTCGTCATCATGATCGTCATCATCATCGTCGTCATCGTCGTCGTCATCATCGTCGTCATCATCATGGTCGTCATCATGATCGTCGTCATAGTCGTCATCATCGTCATCATCATAATCGTCGTCATCATCGTCGTTGTCAGCATCACCGTCGTCTTCATCGTCGTTGTCAGTATCACCGTCATCATCGTCGTTGTCATCATTGTCATCATGATAGTCGTCGTCGTCATCAAAGTCGTCATCGTCATCATCGTTGTCATCATCATGATAGTCATCATGATCGTCATCATAGTCGTCATCATCGTCATCATCATAATCGTCGTCCTTATCATCGTCGTCATCATCATCGTCATCATCATCGTCGTCATCGTCGTCAGCATCACCGTCGTCATCATCGTCGTTGTCATCAACGTCATCATCATAGTCGTCGTCATCATCGCTATCATCATCATCATCATCGTGGTCGTTATCATCATCGTCGTCATCGTCGTTATCAGCATCACCTTCGTCACCATCGTCGTCATCATCGTCATCATCATCATCGTTGTCATCATCGTCATCATCATAGTCGTCGTCGTCATCATTGTCGTCATCATCGTCGTTGTCAGCATCACCGTCGTCATCATCGTCGTCATCATCGTCGTTGTCATCATCATCGTCGTTGTCATCGTCGTCATCATCGTCGTCATCATCGTCGTTGTCAGTATCACCGTCATCATCGTCGTCATCGTCGTCGTCATCGTCGTCGTCATCGTCGTTGTCATCGTCGTCATCATCGTCATCGTCGTCGTCATCATCATGATCGTCGTCATAGTCGTCATCATCGTCATCATCATCATCGTCGTCGTCATCGTCGTTGTCAGCATCACCGTTGTCATCATCGTCGTTGTCAGTATCACCGTCATCATTGTCATCATCATAGTCGTCGTCGTCGTCATCATAGTCGTCATTGTCGTCGTCATCATCATCTCTATCATCATCATCGTCGTCATCATCATCATCGCTATCATCATCGTCGTCATCGTCGTCGTCATCACCGCGGGCGCGCGCCACCGCTCACCGTGACGCGCTCGTCACGTGTCGCCAGCGTTGCGCCGTCCTTGCGCCAGGCGACGGTGGGCTCTGGGTGCCCGCGTGGCGGGTGGCACTCGAGCACGGCCGGCTCGCCCACGGCCACCACCGCGTCCGCCGGGCTCTGGCGGAAGTCGTCGCGGAGGACTGCGGAGAGAGAGAGAGACGCGCGGAGGCGTGAGGTGTGACACGTGTGGTCCCTTCGATGAGGGTGGTGGTGGTGGTGGTGAGTAGCAGCAGTAGCAGCACCACCACAGAGGCGGAGGTGTGACACGTGTAGCCCCTTCGATGAGGGTGGTGATGATGATGAATAGCAGCAGCAGCACCACACAGAGGCGGAGGTGTGACACGTGTGGCCCCTTCGATGAGGGTGGTGGTGGTGGTGGTGGTGAGTAGCAGCAGCAGCACCACACACACACAGGCGGAGGTGTGACACGTGTGGCCCCTTCGATGAGGGTGGTGGTGGTGGTGAGTAGCAGCAGCAGCACCACACACACAGAGGCGGAGGTGTGACACGTGTAGCCCCTTCGATGAGGCTGTGGGGATGATGAGTAGCAGCAGCAGCACCAGCACACACACAGAGGCGGAGGTGTGACACGTGTAGCCCCTTCGATGAGGGTGGTAGTGATGAGTAGCAGCAGCAGCACCACACAGAGGCGGAGGTGTGACACGTGTAGCCCCTTCGATGAGGGTGGTAGTGATGAGTAGCAGCAGCAGCACCACCACACACACAGAGGCGGAGGTGTGACACGTGTAGCCCCTTCGATGAGGCTGCTGGGCGCAAGTGCAAATCGACCCACGTGAAGGTGGCCACAACATACGAAGGGGTGGGTAGCCACCACGACCATAGACACAAAGATAAAGGTGCCCCGCGTAGCCTCAACAGACTGTAGGTGCAAGTGCTGTTAGCGAGTAGCAGCACCTATGAAGGCCGGCACGGCACACGAGGGGGTGGGTGGCCAGCACCACACCCGTCCGCCTTTGTCTCCCCGCCCCCCCCTCCCCCCCCCCGTGCCGATGTTTACAACACACCGCATCAGGTTTAATCATTTGAGGCTGAGTCGATCTAGGGGATGGGCCCAGCACCGGTTCGGATAATCGTAGGGGCAGCAGCGACCCTCACCGCTGCGCCACCGCTCCTTCCACGTGGACGCGCACAACCCTCACCGCTGCGCCACCGCTCCTTCCACGTGAACGCGCGCGACCCTCACCGCTGACATTCACACCGCGGGCAGCGAGGGTAGTAGCTGAGCGTTGCCGACAGGGGGAGGTGGAGGAGCGTTGAACGGGGAAAGGTTTTTAAAAAAAAACTAAAATTCACGTTGGGGAAGGGCCGAAAATATAACTGCAGCTTAGAACGGATCGTCACGGATCCCATTAGCGCTTATAACGGATCCTGAGTGAGAGGGTGAGTGAGAGGGTGAGTGGGTGAGTGAGAGAGAGAGTGAGTGGGTGAGTGAGAGGGTGAGTGGGTGGGTGAGTGGATGAGAGTGAGTGGGTGAGTGAGAGGTTCAGTGGGTGGCTGAGTGGATGAGAGAGAGTGAGTGGGTGAGTGAGAGGGTGGGTGGGTGAGTGGGTGGGTGAGTGAGTGGGTGGATGAGTGGGTAGGTGAGTGGGTAGGTGAGTGGGTGGGTGAGTGAGTGGATGAGAGAGTGAGTGGGTAGGTGAGTGGGTGGGTGAGTGGATGAGAGAGAGAGACTGGGTGGATGAGTGGATGAGAGAGAGAGAGAGTGAGTGGGTGAGTGAGTGGGTGGGTGAGAGAGAGTAAGTGAGTGGGTGAGTGGGTGAGTGAGTGGGTGAGTGAGAGGGTGAGTGGGTGGGTGAGTGGATGAGAGATAAAGTGGATGCGAGAGTGAGTGGGTGAGAGAGTGAATGGGTGAGAGAGTGAGTGGGTGAGTGAGAGAGTGAGTGGGTGAGAAAGTGAGTGGGTGAGTGAGAGAGTGAGTGGGTGAGAAAGTAAGTGGGTGAGTGAGAGAGTGAGTGTGTGAGAGAGTGAGAGGGTCAGTGAGTGAGTGTGTGCGAGAGTGAGTGGGTGAGAGAGTGAGAGGGTGAGAGAGTGAGTGGGTGGGTGAGTGAGTGGGTGGGTGAGTGGGTTGGTGATTGAGTGGGTGGATGAGTGGGTGGGTGGGTGAGTGAGTGAGTGGGTGGGTGAGTGAGTGAGTGAGTGGGTGAGTGAGTGGGTGGGTGAGTGGGTCGGTGAGTGAGTGGGTGGGTGAGTGAGTGGGTGGGTGAGTGGGAGAGTGAGTGGGTGGGTGAGTGGGTCGGTGAGTGAGTGGGTGGGTGAGTGAGTGGGTGGGTGAGTGAGTGGGTGGGTGAGTGAGAGAGTGAGTGGGTGGGTGAGTGAGTGGGTGGGTGAGTGAGTGGGTCGGTGAGTGAGTGGTTGGGTGAGTGAGTGGGTGGGTGAGTGAGTGGGTGGGTGAGTGAGTGAGTGAGTGGGTGGGTGAGTGAGTGGGTGGGTGAGTGAGAGAGTGAGTGGGTGGGTGAGTGGGTGGGTGGGTGAGTGAGTGGGTGGGTGAGTGGGAGAGTGGGGAGTTGGGGTAGGCACCGTGCGTAGGAGTCTCTCGGAGTCTAGGGGCGGGGTGGGGAGGACTATCTTTAGTAAGTGCGGGGTGAGAGGGAGTAGGGGGTGAAGGGCGTGGTGGTGGTGGTGTGGGGGTGTGCAAGGTGGGGGGTTAATTGGTGGGTGGGTGTGCCACTGCGATACCGATTGTCGTGCTGCAGGAGCTGAATGTGGAGCAGCGCGCTCGAGACCGGGAATTCCGTCGCTGTGTGAATGAATCACTTTGGTGTGCGCTCGGTGCACCGAACGCACACCAAAGACAAAGATTCCCCGTATAGCAGCGGCATGCTCTAGGGGCAAGTGCCTGTTAGCGAGTAAGCAACACAAATGAATGCCGGCAAGGCACACGAGGGATGTGGGTGGGCATCACCACTGTCATCACCATTACCAAAATCTACACCACCATCACCACTACCATCACTACTAGCATCAACAACAACATCACCATCACCACCACCACCAACAACATTTACATCACCAACATCACCACCACCATCTACACCGTCATCACCAACATCTACACCACCATCACCACTACCATCACTAATACCAACATCACCATCACCACCACCATCAACAACAACATCTACATCACCATCACCAACATCACCATCACCACCACCATCTACACCGTCATCACCAACATCTACACCACCATCACCACTACCATCACTACTACCATCAACAACAACATCACCATCACCACAACCATCAACAACATTTACATCACCATCACCAACATCACCACCACCATCTACACCGTCATCACCAACATCTACACCACCATCACCACTACCATCACTACTACCATCAACAACATCATCACCATCACCACAACCATCAACAACATTTACATCACCATCACCAACATCACCATCACCACCACCATCTACACCGTCATCACCAACATCTACACCACAATCACCACTACCATCACTACTACCAACATCACCATCACCACCACCATCAACAACAAAATCTACATCACCATCACCAACATCACCATCACCACCACCATCTACACCGTCATCACCAACATCTACACCACCATCACCACTACCATCACTACTACCATCAACAACATCACCATCACCACCACCACCATCAACAACATCTACATCACCAACATCACCATCAACACCACCATCTACACCGTCATCACCAACATCTACACCACCATCACCACCACCATCACTACTACCATCAACAACAACATCACCATCACCACCACCATCAACAACATTTACATTACCATCACCAACATCACCATCACCACCACCATCTACACCGTCATCACCAACATCTACACCACCATCACCACTACCATCACTACTACCAACATCACCATCACCACCATCAACAACATCTACATCACCATCACCAACATCACCACCACCATCTACACCACCATCACCACTACCATCACTACTACCATCAACAACATCACCATCAACAACATCTACATCACCATCACCAACATCACCATCACCACCACCATCTACACCATCACCACCACCATCTACACCATCAGCACCATCTACATCACCACCACCATCTACATCACCACCGTCACTACCATCACCACCATCATCACCACCATCACTACCATCACCATCTACATCACCATCATCGCTACCACCACCATCTACATCACCACCATCACTACCATCACCATCTACATCACCACCATCATCACCACCACCATCTACATCACCACCATCACTACCATCACCATCTACATCACCACCATCACTACCATCACCATCTACATCACCACCATCATCACCACCACCATCTACATCACCACCATCACTACCATCACCATCTACATCACCATCATCGCTACCACCACCATCTACATCACCACCATCACTACCATCACCATCTACATCACCACCATCATCACCACCACCATCTACATCACCACCATCACTACCATCACCATCTACATCACCACCATCACTACCACCACCATCTACATCACCACCATCATCACCACCACCATCTAGATCACCACCATCATCACCATCACCATCTACATCACCACCATCACTACCATCACCACCATCATTACCACCATCACTACCATCACCATCTACATCACCACCATCATCATCACCACAATCTACATCACCACCATCACTACCACCACCATCTACATCACTACCATCACTACCATCACCATCTACATCACCACCATCATCACCACCACCATCTAGATCACCACCATCATCACCATCACCATCTACATCACCACCATCACTACCATCACATCTGCATCACCACCATCACTACCATCACCATCTACATCACCCACCATCACTACCATCACCATCTACATCACCACCATTACAACCATCACCACCATCATCACCACCATCACTACCACCACCATCTAGATCACCACCATCACTACCATCACCATCTACATCACCACCATCATCAATCACCACAATCTACATCACCACCATCACTACCATCACCACCATCATCACCACCATCACTACCATCACCATCTACATCACCACCATTACTACCATCACCATCTACATCACCACCATCACTACCATCACCATCTACATCACCA